TTTTCAGCTTATCTTTGGTATCACAAAAGGAACGTTAAAGTAAATATTTGGACAAGACTACAGTTTCATTTTGGTGTAGGAATGTGGTCTCTACTTATCCAAGTATTTTGGATTTATACGGCTCGCTTATTTATTTTCAAACATAGAGCGTAAAACGAATTCAAATACAAAATAAATAAACTTAGTTAAACATGTAAATGTGCATTTTGAAATATGTGTTCTAAACTGCAGAACCGTTAATCTAATCTGACTTGCATTTACAATACAAAATTTACATAACAGTTAACAATGAATATTGTCTTACATAATAATTATAAAAACTTGGTAAAATAATTCATGTTAGTTAGAGTATAATTCAGATGTTTCCCACATGCTAATTAGCCTCATAAGTTGTAGTTACAATCAATTAAACAATGTGTAATTGCAGGTAACATTGTAAAACTAGTTGTAATTATTCGAAAACAAAAAATGAGCACCATTTTTTGTGTAACCAGCGTTTAATTTCTGTTATACATCGTAAAATCTGTTCCGTTTTCGTCCAGATGTAAAATAGTTCTGTCTTGGTAATACCAGTAATAGTTTTACAAAGAATTAAAATGTTTGAAACAAAATGTAACTGGTGAACCATTCAAAAAAGGAAACTTCGAAATCGCATACGAACTCATAGTACCTGCCTACATTATCAAAACAGCACGCCATGTAATTTTCGAATGGCCCTCTACGGCGCCCCAGCGTGGGCGCCGTAGAGGGCCCTGGCGATCACAGGGTCCTGGCGATCCGAATGATCCGCAGATACCGCACGATCTCCGGGGAGGCGGCGAATCTCCTTGCCGGATTACCGCCGTGGGATCTGGAGGCGAAGGTGCTCGCGCACGTATTCTGTCTGCGTGCAGAGGCACGTCGCCGGGGCGAAACTCCGCTGCCGCGCCAGATTAGTGCAACACGTGTGCAACTGTGCAACTTTGACGTTAATATTTAAAGCACAGTAATTATCTAAGACGGGAATGTTCTCCTTTATATTATAAATCAGTAGACAAACACCGTACTTTTTATCTCATAAAAGTATATACACTAAAAACAAACTTAATGTTAGGTTGCCCACCAGTGGACCTTACGCTGTAACTGTAGGGCCGACGGTCGAAATTAGCTTGAACTGTTGTTATAAATGTGTAATTATTTGTGAATGTGTGTGTTTGTGGGTCTGTTTGTTACTCAGTCACATCAAAACGGCTGAAGGGACCGGGCTGAAATTTGGAACAGAGGGATTTTTATCCCCGAAACCGCGGGCGAAGCTGGCAGAATTTTATATATAACTAGCTTCTGCCCGCGACTTCGTACGCGTAATCCCATTTTTTCCCGTCCCCGTTCGTGATTTTCGGTAAAAAGTAAAAAAAAAGTATTAGTTAAAAAGTATCCTATGTCGGTCTCCTGGCTCTAAGCTACCTCCCTACCAATTTTCAGCCAAATCTATTCTGCCGTTCTTGAGTTATAAGTGGTGAAACTAACACGACTTTCTTTTATATATATAGATGATCAAGTTATTTAAATCTTTTATTTTGAGTGATATAAAGCTCAATTTTATATTTATTTTAGGTATTATTTAAAATACAGTCAATAAATCTATTCATGAATAGGTTAGGTACAAGTTTTATTCCAAAGTAGGTAGAACTAACAAGGTTTTATTGAATACTTCTCGGTCGTCTAGTTTTAATATTCACTTCATTGATATATTTAACCGACTTTCTTAAAATTAATTTAAGATAATCGATAATTGGATTTATTTGATATTGATTTCTTACATATACTCCTCTGGTGTTGCATCCACCAGGTAAACCATCTGTTCATTTGCTGCCCTATTCCATAAAAATACAAACCTGGCAACACCGCAACCGCACACTTTAAATAGCCCAATTACAAATGTCGAGTAGTTCGGGAGTGACACATGTATTGTAGATATTTCGTTTATTTTTATTTTAAAACTGATTAATTAATCAAGATAGATATTATTTCCGTTATTATTGTATCAGAACTTGTTAACTAGATATTTAGAGGTTTATATTATAATTTTCGTGAGACATACTAAATTAATTATTATGTTTTACGGCTTACTCACGTAATTATTTGACGAGGAACTCGACTAGTTTCAAGCCATGCTAGAGGCACCATTCATAAGCACCATTCCACGACCCGCGACGTGGCGACTGTCACACAATACTTTACATACCAATATAACATAGCATAACATAATAAATAAAGATATGTATTTCAAAAAACCAAGTTTACACTTACAATCACGCATTCCAACTAATTGTGGATACAGGAAGGAAATTGTGATAAACAATGAGATAGCATGTCTCCATTGTTACACACATACTATTACTATTACTATTAATTATTGCCATATCGGGTTTCATTGCGATATATCTGCGGGATATTCCAAAAAAATAAAAGTAATATCGACACACGATAAAATGTTTGTACCAAACTACCTAACCGCGGAACAGAGGCACCTGTTTTATTTAAAGTAGGTACCAACTTGAAATCTAAGACCTTTTTTAACAATTGTATCTACGGTACCGCCGTTTTCTTTTCGTCTAGACGACCGCTTTGAGTTTTAATCTCACCAATGCCAGCGGCAAGAGACGTAGTAACATTACTTAATAATTACAATGATGTGTAAATTCTTAGTAACTCTGATTTTTTACAATTCCTCCTAAACGTCCGGCATAACTAACAATAGGTTCAATTTCTACCATAATTAGGACCTAATCGAGGAATAACAATATATAATAAGCAAAAAATGGACATACTAATGAACATCGGACGACTCCTTCGAAGAAACGAGTAGTTTAAATACTACAATCAAATCAAATAATATTATTAGTTAAGACGAATTTAATAACAATAATCATTTGAAAATCGAACATCAACGACCCCATACACAAACAGCCTTTTTTTTTTTTTTTTAAGGGGGGAAAATCATCGAATGACTGCTCCCGCCTGGGTGAGGCGGAAGGGAGTGTCAGACTCTTACTGACTAAAAACCACCCCGTTCCTTCTCCTGCACGTCGAGCCGGAGCCCCGGTTACCCGTTAGGTTCTCCGCGACTCCGAATCGGCATCGGCCCTATTGGGCCCCATCTGTGGTGGTCTGATGGCTCTTTGAGGCGCGCGCGGAACGCGACGCGCCGTACGCTCGGGTCTGTTTCTGGTCGGACGGGGAGCCACCCATGCTCGCCGTCCGCAGGCCCGCGCTTACGGTGGCCGGAGATCGTCCCGCGATCCCCGACGCCCGGTGTGTCCTTCGCGATGGCTGGGTCGCGAGGAGGCAGCGCTTCGCTGCCTCATGCGTCCCGCCTCCTCCTTAGCTAGCATGACTGCTTCGCAAAAGGAGGAGACGGCATCCCAGTCCCCCTCGCTCCGCATCATGGCCTGCACTAGGCCCGGACGCGAGAGGTCGCCATCGCCGATCACTTCCCTGAGGGCACGGCGGTGCTCAGCCCACGCAGGGCATTCCGCTACGGTGTGTTCCACCGTGTCCTCAGGGCGGATACACAAACAGCCTAGCTTAAGGCCGCAAAAACTAAACAATAGATAAGTACTTAGGTACGTAAAAACCCCACATCAAGCCTCTTGTACAAAAACTTCAACAAATGACAACTTAAACACAGGGTTCAAGCTAGACAAGAAAATCAATATTGTACATAAACATGACAATTGACATGTGACGTCTTTAGTTATTTGCAAAAGGTCATATCACTAAAAATGTAGTTTTTCGACGTCCCAAAAAGACAAACTCCGTGAAGTAAATTCCGAAAAAAAGTCAGTTTCGTTAATCACCTCATAATAATCATTCACTTCAAAAGAAAATTAAGCACCTACTTGATGTAGTCTATTGGCTGTATCATTTTCTTAATGTTTATCACATTATTAATTTCTACAATCAAGCACATATTTTTACAAGTAGATAAAGTCCAAACGTATAAGCAATTAATCGTTAAAGAAAATCATGTTTAAGTTATGTCCATGTTATGTGTGCATACATTAAACAATTAGCAGGAAATATATTTAGTCCTATGATTTCATTTACTTCTAGGTTATGTTCATTTACCATCTGATATGTCTCCCTGTGGTATTGACTACTTGTTTCCTTATAGATATGAATATATTCCCTTGACATTGCATACACATATTATTAGGTATGATCCTTATCTACATATACCTTGTTTGTATAAATATTAAAGAATTCATTCAAATTAAAACACCAAAGGCACTCTTGGAAATCTAAATTTAACATGTTAAAATAAGATAATAATTAATTAGCATAAACCTTATAGGTCTGATATATAATATAAGTCAGTAAATAATAAAGATAATAATAAAACTTGTCGATGATTCTGAAGCATGGATACCTGGGACAAAATCGGGCAAGGAACTCCATGGTCACATCCTTTTCCAATCTAGTTCTAAATTCTGGATATCATTCTTTTCCTATAAACTCCAAATCGAGAACGCACGTCGAATCTTTTTCTAAGGTATATTTGAAGAAGCAATTTTATGTACATTTTCATTAAACATGTATTGGGGCTGTGAACTTTAACAGGCTTTTTGACATACATTCACTCATATCTTTTCTTTACAATACAATAATATTACTATTTGTTTTGCCTGACCTAAGGTGTAGAACTGGGCAGTAAATCACTATATATGAAAGTCCAAAATTAATGCCACATTCACAGTCTCAGCATCTCGGTCAAAAGTACAAAGAGCAAAATGTCTGATACCTATAACTAACTATGTATGAAACAAGTAGTTTCTAAGCTTATTGTGTATTGGAGCACATGCATAGCGGTCGTGTCCATAGCAGGCGAGATTTATCTCGTTACCGATGGTTCAATGAACAACTGACAAAAACCGAAGCCAAGGGCATAACAAAAACAAGTAGAGTTGCGTGCAGTCGATTCACAGATTAGTTCCTCTTAATCTGCGAGGTGATCGTCGATGGCGAACAATTTCCTGATGGCCAATCGAAGTTGGAGTGTGGTTTTGAATCATTTATTTACGTGAGTTCTATACTTGAATCAGGTTCCACGTGCGTTTGTTTCATTTTCGATCACTCGCTTGGTGTGACCACTGTGTTTGAAACTTTGTTTGTAACGTGTCGCGTCTTCATTGATCGATACTATTTTCTTAAGGCCGGTTTTCAAGTTCAAGTTCGAATGATATTGTTCTATAGTGTTCCGTGTTCCCCGTAAAAGTGTTTTGCCAGCTATGTGTACCAGTGTGCGCTTTACTCGGATGTTTTAACTATTTGTTTCAGTTTGTAAGTAAGTTTATCTAGTTCTGTAGATAATATCTAACAAAATATTATTTTGTTTATAATTTTGTTGCTATTTGCATTTTGTTATAACCATTTTTAATTTTATTTTTATTTTATTTTATTTCAATCAGCTCTTGCTGATATTTAAATATCAATATTATTTATTATTTTATTTATTAACGATAACTATTAATCAACTGTTATGCATACTAAAAATAACTAAATGAAGTTGGGATTTCCTATGTAAATGCAGATTTAGAAGAAACACCGAACATTAATTAATCACAGTTTCTTATAAAGTTCAAACAAATACTGCGTTGTAAACATGCTATAGTTATTTAATAAAATACCAACATACTAAAAAACTTTTCTCTAAAAATAAACGAATAAATAAAAGTGTTTATAACACTAACACTTTCGTCACTAATCTCGAGGAAAACCCCAACACCATAGAGAAAGTAGAAATATTATTTGGTCCATAAGAAATACATAAACATGTTGTTGATTAAAATTCTTAATGAAATGACGTACGTAGGCACCGATATAAATCATGCGTAACTTCAATTTCCCCTACCATAAATAAGCGCAGTATCGTAAGCTTTGCGACTGTTTAGTCTATAGATACGATACTGTTTCTGATTTAACTTGCAATGAGGCAGTCTAAAACAAAGTTTATCCAGCGGTCAATGACCTTACTTATTATTTTCCTAATACAACTAACTTGCCATTGCCCATTAGGTATAGTACAAATCTCACAATATTTTGCATAAAACATACATACTATATCTGGAACTACATAAGAAGTAAAGCCTCATTTTATATCGTAATATTAAAATCTTATCTAGAAAAATATCACTTTGTTATTTAACTCGTCGAGTACCGGTTTTATAGACACAATTAAAGAACAATAGGTCGCGGTCACCGGTGACCGCTTGGTGTTTGACAGTTTAACTAGACGAAACAAAATCATCGAAACGTTTCTGATTCAAGAGTAATTCTACTTACAAACGCTAAAGGTTATTCAAAAGTACAAAAACGTATCTTATTTCAAGTGCACGAGATAAAGCAGTCGCACTTGTAACCACTGGCCACTCCACCAACGAGATCCATTACCGCCATAACATGAATCTACCACAAGAAAAACAATATCAATTTAAATCATATTAGTAAAATCATCGTATCATCAAAAAGTTCCGTAGATCATTATGTAGCGTCCGCACAGATTAGTACCATACGTCTGTATTCTATATTGACGTCATTCATCCGATTACCTAACTAAAGTTACTAAATATTTGTTTGGACTAAACAAGAATAGGTACGTCAAACGACACTATCCTTTATGCTCTATATAAGGATAAATTAAATACCTACTGAAATATCAAAATATTTGCTCAACCTAATAACATTTAAACCGACGTGAAGCAACGCTTACGTTGTGTTTCGTCGTGTGAGTGAGGTTACCGGAGGCCCAATTACCCTCCCCTTCTCCAATCTACCTAATCCTTGAATCCCCAACGATCCTCAAACTCCTAATCCCTAAAAGGGCGGTAACGCACTTGTAACGCCTTTGGTGTTCCGTCTGCTCGTTTACCGGTTTATGCCATAAAAAAATAACAAATTTCATGTTAAGATTCCAATGGTTTCAGATAAATTTTACTATCGACCTATATAGACTAGAAGAGACATCCTTTTAAATGTCGTACGAATTCATAATATTCCTGCTCAATATTCTGTTATATTCTCAATGTTCTGTCACATAGTAAATTAATCACAATATACTGCGTTTTTCAGATTTTTAGAGTAAAAAGATAGATAAAACTGATTTTAGATGCTATTTTCCCAAAATTTCCAAATCTGGAATAGATATAATAGGTAAATAAGCTAGTAAAAAAGTGAATATTAAAACTGACTATTTTTCTGATTATTTTAATTATTATCGGACAAGACTGCAACTCTAAAATAGGTACATGGGGCTGGGGCTGACGTAGCCTATAGCTTGTCGCGGAGAACCTAACGGGTAACCGGGGCTCCGGCTCGACGTGCAGGAGAAGGAACGGGGTGGTTTTTAGTCAGTAAGAGTCTTGACACTCTCTCCCGCCTCACCCAGGCGGGAGCAGTGATTCGATGATTTTCCCCCCTTAAAAAAACATAGCTTAAAAGCACTTAAAATAAAATAGAATTAAAAAAAACATACAACGTGGCAATGCTCTCATCCTTCTGGGTATTTAATAATATTTTCCTTATTGACGTCGATGCGAACGAATTTTTGATGCACTCTGTAAATAATCATGTTTCGTTTTCTTTTATTTGATTTTCTTCAATGGTTTTAGTTTATTTTACGTTGTACATATTTAGTTATTTCCTTATTTTTATATTTCATGTAAATAAAAAATAAGTATTATACGTAAATAAAAATTATATCGACAATATAATGATTATTATAATTATTATTTGCATTAAGATATAAATGTAAATGCAATATCATGGCAGTTAAGAAACTTGATTTATTTTGATACCTTATTCAAGGTTTACCGTAACCGTAAGCCTTTTTGGAGCACCCGTGGTCCCAAAGGATGTCACAAGGGCACTTTAAAATGGAAGAGCTTTTAAGATGCGCGCATGCGCTTAATGTCAAGTACATACCTACATTCTGGGCTATGTTTAGTGTTGGTAGTGCATAAATTGATCCACTCAATGCAAACTAGGTAACCGTGTCTTTTTTTCATATTTAACAACAGCTTAGTTCAACGACCTTTGCATCTTTACAAATGCAGCTACTTACTTTTTCATTGCCATAAAAAGGCGACAAAATACCCATTTACAGTAATTCCGTATAAAAAATGGAAATCGTATATAAATTATACGAATTTTTTTATACTTCTAACGAAATGAAAATTGTAAAATTACTTTGTTTGTCTAAGCAAGTTTATTAGGACATAAATAATTATGTAAGTGTGACTTTTGTAGCAAACAATGTATATACAGAAACGGTATTTTGAGCATAAATAAAAAACTGTCATGGTATGTTATTATCAAACAGAAGAGAATACTATTTAGTATTCCGTTACGGCATAACTTCAGGTCTTACTGTATAGCACTACAAGCGAAGGATAGACATAATAATAATAGCTACGTAGCTATTTAAGGACAATATTATTGTCAACAAAATGTAAACATACAGTTCTACGCTGGAGTCTCCAGGGCCAATTTTTCGAACCATTTATGCCATATAAGTACTTAAGGCACTTAAAATAAAGCACATAACGGCATGATTAATTAGGACATGGAAGCTTCACTGACGTCCATGTTAAGGCCCGGACGTAACCAGCCACACGAAACAAGTATTTCGTATGAGAGCAGAGTACATCGGCATGCGTCGCGGATAAAGCACGCACAGTGCGCTCTGCACGATATTTTAAGGGTTGTTACTTCATTTAATTCGATATCAATGGTTACAAACAAATCACTGAAAAATTAACTCTTTACTATAAATGATTAGGTTTATTTTCCGTGTTTAAGTGTTTTTCTCACGTGTTTTATAATCATAATATGAAATCTTAGATTTGAAGTCCCGTATTTATAGTAGTTACTCCAATGTTAAAGATATTGTTCCTAATGATGGTGTGTTGTCCAGGTCGCTCGCAATTCCTGACGGATTGGTGATGGACCCGTTGGCGCCCACCGCGCTTGCGGTATCTTCAGAGTTCATGGACCGCATTGGCAGTGGGTTGACAATACTTAGAGATCACAGCAAAAAAGTTCAAAAGGTACGTACTAACATATTATAGTACAAATCATTAGATTTGTTGGTTTAATTTGTTGCATGAGAGAGGCAGATACTACAGAGCGCTTCTTGCTACGATTTTTACATAATTTTATTATTAAGCCCAGCATTTATAGTTAATTTTGCATATTACCCAACGCAAACCAAAAAAATCCCATAGAAAATTATTTTAAAGTATATAGGAATGTTACAACATCACATTTGATAATAAATCAAATTAATTCATTCAAATAATAAAAGTTTTCAATGTAAATATTTAAAATACTTAACAATAATCATACATTATGTCTAAAAAAACTGTCACTGAAAATGTTGTCCCACCGAGTAATCTCACCTGGGTAATAATTTACGACCATTGGCCTCTTAATAATATGATATTTACCTACATACTTACTTTATTTAAAAAGAAAACCTTTTTGTATAAAGGAAAACGATGACAGTATGGTGAGTTTTTGAAAATATTCTTTTTTTAAATTACATATTCTTTGTGTTGAATTTCCTGGGATGAGTTTTCTGTTATAAAATTCGAGGGTGATTAATCATTGGCGACCAATGGGACTAATTGGTTTTATGTACCTACATGTGAAATTGTATGATTGTAAACGCATACACGACACAGGAAAACATCCTAATGTTGGGCAAAGTTTAAAAGAAACCTCAATGTTTACTTCAAAATTAAAAAAATTAGAACTGCCTATATCCAGGATTAACTTCGTTACTACAATTGACTAAGTACAAGTCCTAAGAAACAGGTACCAGATGTTGTTTATATACAGAGGTTATTATGTAACTAAGAGTTTAGAAATCAGAATGTCTAATTGCAACCTATTTGACCCGTACCTCGAACCCTCGACCTTATATGAGCCACCTCTAGACATTACAGAACAGTTAAAAAAATATCAAATAGCTCACCAGCCCTACAAAATGTTTAAGTACTTAATCTAAGTAGAAAATTAAAAAATTAAAAATCGTTTTTTTTTTATTTTGTTCATTTACAAGATACTTCGGAAGATTTTTCCAATAGCTAGACTAATATTTACTAAGATTATGTTAATTTTACGTGATAATAATTATCATGTTTTTTTATTTTTTTCCTGCAGTATGTTTGGAAAAACAGAAAATTCGACATTCTCAAGAAGTCATGGAAGTCTATGGTGAACGTCGTTCTGATTGATGCCAAAGATACACCGGCGGGGAGTGCCAATGGACTATATTGTAAATTCAAGTAAGTATCCGTACATTTCCTGGACCTTATTGTATGCATCACAAATTATTCAAATGAGTTGTTACCTTTACCGCGTCACAGCTCAGGTTAGCAAACTTGAAATATCTTTGCTTTGGTACAAATAAAAAAATCACCGGAAATCATACTGGTGACAAAAAAACTCGGACAAAATAATGTTGCTAAATAACAAATAATACAATTATTTGTTATTTAGCTCTTAATATGTTGCTTTTTTATTTAGTAACTTATTATTATGTTGCTGCTTGTTGGCCGAGTGGTCGCAAGTGCGACTCACGGGCAAGGGGTCTCGGGTTCGATTCCCGGGTTGGGCAAATGATTACCGGGTTTTTAAAAAATTCTCAGTATTAGCACGGAGTCTGGAATTGTGCCCGGTATATGGCAATAGGCTCACCCCCTATTACGTGGGACTCATAACATAAATAGTGAAAAGTGGGTGTTACATTGTACAGTGGCATAATGTACGATTATGATCACAATGTTGCCTGCCTAGTTCTTTAAAGCCGATAAAAGATTTGAAGTAGTTTTTAAAACCCATCAAATCCATAAAATTTGAACCTTTTAGTAAAAAACCTTCTCACAAGTTTCAAGTAAAACTTATTTTGTTTTAAAAATAGTTTTAACAGCTTTTGTACATGGCACCGGATGTTCCAATGATTTCCTTACAAGCATAGTTAGTTAAGCATATAGGTACTTACTTACGTATGTTTGTAATGTATGTATGTCTCAGTTCTTAGTTATCAGCTTCAAAATTTCAATCAGTTTGATATTTTGTGTACGTAGAATCGGTAGAATGTTATTAATGAAGTATGTAGCTATATATTTAATAACGTAGGACGCATACAGACTTAAAGCTGACTAAAGAAAGAGTCCGAAAAAATTTAACTTAGATCTAACATTCCATGTGTCTAAAACAATATATCGTCTCATCTAATCTCACAAACACAAGTTGAATGATGACTGGAACAATTAACAAACACGCGTTACACGAAACAATTAAGAAAACACGAAATTAATTGAAATCTTTGGTGGTTTTTCCTGTCATTTTTTCCCGCCATCCGCCATTTAATTTTTTTTTCTTTACTCAGACTGGGCAGCGAAGGTCACAAATCGAAGCAGCTGTCAAAGTCAAAACCTTCGTGGTGTGAGAGGTTTAACCTCTACCTATACGATGACAATAACTTGGAAGTCACAGTCTGGCACAAGGGGAAACAGAAGACTTTTATGGGCAGGTAAGGTATATTTATTTACTCGAGTTTTTTACCTAATGAGTGATGATTTACTTAATTGTTTAAATTATTGTTATGAATTCCACGGCTAAATTATTGTTTGTAAGAAAACGAATTATTAAACGGAATAAAAGATAATGATGAACTTGATATGGGTGTAGAATATTATACTTTATTCGTTATGTCCACTTTTGTCTGTAATACCGCAATGCAATTAATACGTGATAAGTTAGATAGCTCAGCAAAAGATTTAAAAATAAAACAAATATTAGACGTACATTTTTCATATAGACATTTTAATAATTTTTGGTAAATTTATTCACAGATTTGTCATTTAAAAATCCTCTGCCGCGGATAACACTAGCCATTATCAACATATTCTCAAACCTCAGTGAAATATTATTTCTGTCATTAAAAAAAAACTAGATAAAACATGTTTCCTCATTTTGTAAAAAAAAATATAATCATGTTACTTAACTTTTTTTTAAACGGCCAAAACATCTACGTCTCCTTATTTATATCGCAGGATATAACGACAAAGAATAACATGTGAACAAAAACAGTTTTATTCTGCGAGAAGCGTCGGTTATTACGGAAACGTGTTTATCCAAAAAGGCACTATCTAAACTAGATAATTTTTTTCTCTAATTCAGTAAACTCGGATATTGTCACAATCAAGTCAAAAAAATTACTTCAAATAATGTGATGATACTGAAAGCTTACAGTCTAAAATATTATGAGGGTTGCAGTATACTGCCATATTTTTACTTCACGCAACGAAGGTTCCCATCACAGAAACCGAATTATGCTTCTTACTGAGTAGCTAATTGGTACATAAATCTTTAATGACCAATAACATCTACGCCAAAACCACTTTTTGCATTTCAATGCTGACGCACGCTTTTGTTTTTCGGCGCCTTCTTTGGCTGTCAATCGTTTTTTACAATTTTAGTATTATATGCTCATCTAAGCGTGGCTTTATTTGCCATCGCGAAGGACACACCGGGCGTCGGGGGTCGCGGGACGATCTCCGGCCACCGTAAGCGCGGGCCTGCGGATGGCGAGCATGGGTGGCTCCCCGTCCGACCAGAAACAGACCCGAGCGTACGGCGCGTTGCGTTCCGCGCGCGCCTCAAAGAGCCATCAGACCACCACAGATGGGGCCCAATAGGGCCGATGCCCTAACGGGTAACCGGGGCTCCGACTCGACGTGCAGGAGAAGGAACGGGGTGGTTTTTAGTCAGTAAGAGTCTGACACTCCAGCAGTCATTCGATGATTTTCCCCCTTAAAAAAAAGGAAAAAAAGCGTGGCTTTATTGGCTTTATTTTATTCATTCATAAATTCAAAAGGTTCCTCAAAGTCATATTTCTTTAAAGGATGACAGCGACATCTACCTTATTGGTAAAACGGTTATTAAAGGTTACCTGCGCCTAAAAATTATATGTTTTGTTATTGGAACTGTCAATGCACTTTGACATTTTTACTCCCCTTTAATAAATTCGGAGTCGTTCAAGGTCGACTCCTCGTCTCTGAACCTATCCATAGGCAGAAAGCTTGTTAGTCAACAACTTCAACCTTCCGGGTTAAACGTACGTGGAAAAATACTGATATTCTGTGTGGTAAACATCTCTAGATAATTCTATAGGTACTTAACGGAATTATTTATGATCTTTGGTGTTAAAATTCACAAAAACAATATGAATGTTATATCAATTTTGTCAGTTGTACGTTAACAAAAAGTTTTTTGCTTATTACCTCATTAACAATAAGTCTCATTTACTTTGAAGATTATATGTTTTACTGTTTGTTGATACTAATGCGGCTTTATTTACAAGGAGCTGCTGACAGCAAAAAATCTAACAACCCTTTAAAACATTACGCCTTTTATCCCAGAAGGGGTAGGCTGAGGTGCACATTATGCCACTGTACCATTGTACAGTGGCATAATGTGCACCCACTTTTCACTACTTATTTTAAATAATTAAAATTAGTTAACAGAATAATAATCAATAGGTTTATTATTTACTAGTATATTAATTAACATTTTAATTATTAATTTTTGGGGTTGTCTCAGATGGATGTACACAATTGCCCACTCCCTAGGTTGCACGTTGCCTATCTAATAGTAAAAATGTCTTATTTGGCAATAACGTTTTTGGACGGATTACCATATTGGACAAAGTACCAATTAGAACTACTAGAGCTTGCTTAACTAGTTTCAAGCGACAACCACGGTTCATCCATAATCTGTTAACATGTTAGTTGCTCAGTCAACTACGCGATATCGTTCACCGCGCATGCTGCCCATGCTTATAAACCCTGATCGTGGTTTGAAATTAGTAGAGTATTCCCGAACAGTTACGCAAGTAAGACGCATATTTTACTTAATTAATTTTGTACACCTCACGAGATTTACATATCAAAAAAAAATTAAACAAAGTCTATATTATCTAGTAAAACTACCACGAACCTTGACCGCTTCATATTTTAATTATATACATGATCGTGGAATTCATATCTAATTATAGAAAATAAAAGTAGTTGTTTTGGTCGATTTTAGAACAGGTGATATTTACAGATGTGTCATCGACCTCTCGCAGCTTGAAAAAGAGAAGACGCATGAGTTGTGGCAGGAGTTGGACTGTGGACAAGGATCCTTGCATTTCCTGATCACTTTGAGTGCGACGGCAAGAACTATGCTCCTGGATAACGTCCCTACAACAAATGGCGTCACCCATGCTGCTCCGGAGGTGGAGAAATTTGTAAGTTCAAGACTATTTATTGCTTTTATAGAGTTTTATAATAATGGTTGCAACAGTCATGCTAGTAAAGGATCTCGAGTTCAATTGAATCTGCAAATACATAGGTAATTGGCGAAATAAGTATATGTCCGTCTATAAACCTTCGGCTAAAAATAGGCGTGAACGCTATGCTAAAAGGAAAATCCGTCTAACGGACTTCAAACGACGTACGTTTAAATTAAAAGATATATCATGTGAGTAATTTTCCCCGAAGTTTCTTTTATCCATTTCTAAAAATATTGAATGCAATATTTTGTATTCTGTTTCTACGTTAGTATTTGTATTGTTCTAAGGTTCTTTATGTCATAACCACAACAAAAATTTTCCTTAAAAAAGCCAATCCCGTTATTGTCTATGAAAACTTGAATAAAAAATCTATGGTCAAGTTCAATGGAAGATTCCGAGGCTATATTTGATAAGCAAAACAAACTAATTATTATATAATATCTATCATTTGAATTGTTGATTCACGTTGTTGTTTGCCAATATCGTCTAGAATCGTCTACGGAAATATTTAAAAACATGTGGCTTAAACTGACCGTTATATTAAGGCATAGCTAGTTCTACGATTAAAAAAAAAACAGTATCGCATTTTAAATTAATTTCCTAGAATATTTCCATTGACTATGTAATCGAATGACGGTAGTCTGTGCCTATCTAGTATTAATGAGAGGTAGCTGCGTGAAGGTCGAATAGATCAAAATAACGGAGTTTCGATTACCATCTTTGTTTTAGGACTCTTGAAACAAAGAGTCTTCCTCCTCTTTGACAGGGGTCTTCTTCTCCATCTTATCACAAACTCCCTTTTCTTTCACATCGTTCCTCACACAATCAGTCTATTCTTTGGTTTTTCATCATTCATCCACCTTATAAATTCTGCATGCAAGCTGCAAATTGTAATATTCAATTGGCCAATTTTCAGTTCAGTCTCACATAACATAACATCACGCCTTTTATCCTCGCAAGGGTAGGCAGAGGTGCATATTACGGCACTTAATGCCACTGCAATGTAACACCCACTTTTCACTATTTGTATTATGAGTCCCATGTAATAGGGGGTGAACCTCAGTTCAGTTTCCTATTTCCTACTAAAACTATTAACAAATCTTGTCACTTCTGCCTAAATTCGTTCGATGTATAACAGGCATGATCTGATATTATGTTGATTTGTCTAGGAAGTAATAGTCGCATACTTTGTCTATTAATAGCTTGTTTAGTTATCAATCGTAATTAATGGAAATACCAACTTTAATTAGACTAAAGTAACTGCCGCTCACGACTCCACTGAAATTGTTATTTAAATTATTATTATTATTTTACTGCATACCTAAGGTCTAAAGTGTAGTTCTAAGTGTTTAGATAGGGATAGTTTAGATGTCGATCAAGTATCAACCTAAGCACCTACAAAGTACGGGATGGCAGTCGTCCCTAGTAAAAAAAATATATAAAATTCAGTTAAATTCGGTTAAGACTCATTGCCGAACTACACCAATTGGAAAAATACCGAGAGAAGAAAAAAAAAGCGGTAGAAATTAAATTATTTCCAACATTCAAAATTATGCATTGTTATCTACCATCATTATGTCAGCTACTGGGCATGGGGTATCTCTAATAGCTTGACATATTACATCGGGCCATCAAACATAAAAATATAGCATATATGTCAATAAATACTTACTTACGACGCAAAAAACCAGAAACTGTATTTGTAAATTAATAGATAAATATGTGTGTGAGTAGGTATAGGTTAGAGTTATATTTATAGATGTTTATAGTGTACGTTTTGAATTCTAATATTAGAAAAAATTTATAAATAAGTTATTTAAGTAGGCTATAAACATTAACTTAATTATTTGGAACGTCGTGCTTAACAGCGGTTTGTTAACCATTCGATAGATACTGTTACATTTCGTTAGCAAAGAAAACTTTATATATAATCAATACTTAAATATTATGACGTTCCTATAACCTGTAGATAATCTACTCTACTCTACTACTTTCTAAGACCCAGTTGGCTCCTTATTAGCGTCAGTCACGATGACCAGTTTCTGGAACTTAGGTACTCATTTTCATTATCCAATGGGAAGGCATTAAGTACAACCGACTAGAACGGTTAGGTCAAGACATTAAGACTAATACATACTTTTGAAAAACATCCAATAAATCCGTCTGTTCGACTAACATAATCTAATAAATAAGTCCTTAATAAGGAAAATTGAATGATTCTGCCAAAAGCGAATTGATGTTATACATTACACATAATATAGTGTCAAAAGTTTCTAGTTCAAAACTGTAATTGGTCGTATTTAATACGCTATTAGGTACTGAGAGTTTGTTTTTATAATAACTATCGTGAGAAAAACGCGGGTTACTCACGTGAATAACCCGCGTTTTTACTTAATTTACTGAGAGTTTCTTTTAGGTACCTTACCTACTATAGTCCTTCGGGAAATTAATTATGTAGTTATTCTATTATTGCGTCAAGTCTCGTGTATTTTATAATGTAACCTTAGCTACTAGCCAATATTTAACTTGCATCAAGTAAAACATAAGACATTACCTCATTACAAAACGAACACAATTTTCCTCCTCAGTTGTATATAAAAAGATAAATATTGAGTTTATAACTTCCTGATTATCTTTAAATATGAAAGTATGTACTTACCATTACAAGGATAAAGTCAGACATTTATGGCAACCTCGAAATTCTTCGAATGCATTTAAATACCGTTATTAAAGTGAAATGTGCAAGTTGGCGTCAATTTGCGGTTTATACAAAGATTGATTTAACCTTGCTTGCGATGCTGAATAAAGCTTCGTTCATATCGTAAGCATTTTGTATAAGAATTTTCAAAAAATGTAGAATGGAGCTTTCGAATGTTAGAATAATCGTCATTTTCAATTATTTCGTCATATTACATTAAATGTTCTTAATTGGTCAAGTATAAAAAGCTAGATCTTTCGTCTTATTTTTTTTAAACCATACACATAACAATTTTGACCTCATCTGCTTATTTTAGCACAATATTTATCTCAACCTTAGTTTACCAAAGATAGAAATACCCAATATAGAGGTATCAGCAAATCTTCCATAACTACGAGACGTCACTAAAATCTCCACAAAAGTACCGATACGAATTGATCTTTACGTCTTTATCCTTCGGTTTTTACGCATGTGTCAGCAGACTAGGCGCCCACTTACCTCACTGTATCAGATAGATCAACCTTCTCCAACGTGTTTATTTTTTCATTGGAACTTCAACTATGTATCAATACAATAAAGTTGATAATCTAATAAAAAAATGACAGGAGTGCTGGCTGTATCAATTTCGTCTCGTAAACATTGGAGAGCCGGTTTTTTTCATTGCCGGAATATTCCTGGCTTACAATAAATCGATGACGCAGGTAAAAGTGGCGGGACAAGTTTTACAGATGGTTAATACCAACATGTTTATATCATGGTGATATTTGTCAGTCTTGTTATTAATTTACTTGCAATTTGTTTCCTAGTTGTCGTTGTTATGAGGAAGTAACTTAAGTAACATCTTAATTGAGAAAAGAAAGATAAATGGACGCTCCTCCAAGAATTCAATTGCCTCCTTAATTGGCATGGAGTTGTTTTTAGTCAATAACACCCGTCTCGCCTCACCCCGGATGGGAGGAGATATGATGACTTCCCCTCAAACAAAAGTTAACTAAATGCGTCGAATGAGTGTGTTTGTACAACCTTTACCTATGTGAATGAGAAGGAAATATGTGAAAATAATAAATACTCATTAATAAAATGAAATCATTCATAATTACTTACCTATTTGTTTTAGTCTTTAGTCATATTTATTATTCATGTCTTTTCGTCATTGTGGCGTTAATTATTGTTGTGCTGTTCAATGCAAACCCATAATATACGAGTTAATTAACCAAAGATACCTATGCAAACAAATTATAAACCTACAAATGTCGATGTAGAAAATTACTAGACGCTTTTTTCCCAGCATAAATCGCTTAGTCATGCATGACACACCAGTCAAATAATAAGTATATTTAGAACCAAGTTAATTTATTATTTAATAAGCTAACTAAGTATAATTATTTTTATGCATTTTTGAATCAATACATTTTTTACCAGTTCCATTAAATCAACGGTTCTTGTTTACAACCAATGCTCGTATTAAAAAAATATTGACGCAAGTGAACACTTTTTGTTTGCACCTTTATTTCGACGAACCAATATAGAGCTTATAATTATATAGATATACTGACTGTGGTTTAACTAATGATATCTGAGTATAGATCTCAAAAGCTGACCCCACGATCTTATTCGTACGTCATCAGTACAAAAAATAAAAGATAAATTATTATGACGCAAAAACCATGGACGTCATCGAAATCTGTCTAATTCTATGAACCTTAATCGTAGCTGTCAATCATCAATAAGACGCGCCAGTTTTTGAGTCATAAATTCAGTTTTTTATTATTGAATTTGACACCAATATCTGTATGCTAATAAATAGACTAATAGTGCTAACAATTTGCGGAGGTATGATAATTGTTGGGATAATAAGTGTTACGTTTGTATTATGAATGAGCATACGGATATATATTATATATTTAAGAAATAATCCGAACTAATCGATTTAAGCTGTATTAAAAAAAAAATGTTCTGTAAATCAAAGCCATGGTATGACAATGATTTTATATATAATATAGTAATACCATAGTTAGGGTACGCCTTGCACGAGAAATCAAAAAACTTATTAAAAGAAAGAGTTTGTTTTGGAAAACTTCTTTGTCCCAGTGTCCTATGCACACATGAATGCATTTTTTAATGAAAACTAACTTTACTTCTTATTTCCAGTCATGGTACCGCCTGGACAACAATTGGGGAGAAGTCGGTGAGCTGTCGGTGACGGTGTACGCAGCTGAAGGGCTGAGCGCGCTCGGTCTGAGCGGGAAGGCAGACTCCTACTGCGTTTTAGAGCTGGACAACAACAGAGTCCAAACGCATACGGTGCCTGGCACTTCAGATCCAACGTGGAATAAAAGTTTTACCTTGTAAGCACTTTAAAATTTTTGATAAGCAAGCATTATACATATGTACGTAATTGACAAAAAAGCATCAGCCGTATATTAAGCGAAGTTTAAGAGTATTTGGGCATAAAAACTGCACATTACAAACATATTATACTTCTCCGCAGATTTATTAGTGTTCTTAATTTATTTTTTATGTCCTTTTTTCTTGACATAGCACAGGCAATAAGGTAGATTAACAGGTAGCGATAAATACTTAGTAAATATTTTAAACATTACAAAAAATTAGGTAATCCTAATTTTGTTTCACACTTGATTTATAGCATGGCTCTTTTTATTTGATAAACCTATTCCTATAAAAAAGCATTAGGTTTCACGTCAGAATACCAGGTAATTGATGAACACAATACTATAAAAACTGACTTTGGTCCAGTGGACTTTGGAGTCGAATCGGATTTCAACTTCCTTCAAAGTGGATAAAGTTTAGGTACACTGTTATCAGTTTAGTAGATTTTTCCTACAAACAACCTATCGAAATTAAAAATAAAAATGATTTTTCTTTTGTCAACAGCCCAATAGACGACGTAACATCGACACTAACAATAACAGTAAAGGATGAATCGATTATAAACACAATGAAAGATGGGACACTCGGCAAAATATCGATACCTCTACTGACAATAGTAAATGATGAGAAAGCATGGTTCGACCTCAGTAATCGACCGAAGAAATCGGTACTAACGAAAGGAAACTCCTCGAAAATTCAATTACAAATGTCCATCGCGTGGAACCCGGTAATTTATACTTTTATTGCTTCCAATGTTTTAGGCATAATAACAAATGGAACTATTTCTATCCCTGCTGTTATTTATGAGATTGTTTGGCTGGAGGGTTCCTGACATGATTTCACAAGCATTTTCCGTGATATTATTAATTTTCTTAGGACATTAGTAATAGTGTTACATAACATAACATCAAGCCTTTTTATCCCCGAAGGGGTAGGCAGGGGTGTATATTTCGGCACTTAATGCCACTGTACAATGTAACACCCACTTTTCACTATTTATGTTATGAGTCCCATGTAATAGGGGGTGAGCACGGAGTCTGGAAATGTGCCCGGTATATGGCAATCCATATACCGGGCACATTTCCAGACTCCGTGCTACTACTGAGGTTTTTTAAAAACCCAGTAATACTTTGCCCGACCCGGGAATCGAACCCGAGACCCTTTACCCGGCAGTCGCACTTGCGACCACTCGGCCAACGAAGCAGTCTAGTAATAGTGTTCTGTTTACTAATTTATTATGTAACACATCTAACTGCAAACATAGTACTAACTACTATGTATACGTAGTTATTGAATCTGTACCATGACTATAGTATATAGTATATATATATATGAATAGTAGTGTATGTATTTAGGTCCCAGTGTGTAATGCCAAAATCACACGCAGCGCCACACATAAAAACCAAAATAACTAGTTTCATTTACATCTTGATTTCTATATATTTTCCTATTGTTAATTACAATTATTTATTTTTCAGATAAAAGCATCGTTACGGTTATTAAGTCCGAAAACGAATAAGTATACGCAACCAACGCCTCGTACGTTTAGCATACCACTCATCTACAGCAATCTGAAGTTCATCAAAGTTATATTCTCGGCTGTGTACTACGGAAATGAACATTTAAAGTGAGTGACATTTAAAGTTTGTTTTAATTTACAATGTAAAACCGCAAACCATTTCTAAACCACCCCTTAATTATAATTACACCTCTTAAACGGATCTCCTATTTGTACTGTTAGGTGTCACTAGTATAAGTGAAACAAAATGTCGTTAAACGTCACCCATCTTAGCTTACGTGTTCCCTAAACTTAAGATGTTGGTGAAAATGGGCATTAATAAGTACATAGAATTGTTAAGTACAAAAGTCAGTGATCACCTATCTTTATGGAGAAAAGCAAACTTGAGGTAATAAACTAACATTTTTTTAACCATTAATTTCAACATTTCTCTTAAATTCAATCAATATTGGACTTTTCAATATTTGGCAAATCTAAATTGGGCTAGATATTTTATTGGAACACCATGGTGACCCAAGTAGTCGCCGTTACCAAACAAAATTTATACAGCTCAACAGAGAGTTATCTACACACTGGTGTCCACTTGGTTGCACAACCAGCTTACTCATATTAGATTGGTAGGGTGACTGGTAGCGCCGCCATAGTGTCCTGGTGAAATCTAGCTCTCAGGATAGCTTATTGTTTTGCTTCGAGAAATATACAGAAAGTTCTATGTGAAGTAATTACACGTACATTATGTAGAACCGGGTTGTTTAATTATTTCTATGTAAATTGTCTAACACAGTTTCTCGTGTCGTTCGTTGACCGTATAATGGCGCCCTATTGAACGGTGCATCGCTTTGACAACATATTTTAATTACATATTTGCATTTCCTTTGACAACATCCGGACATTGTAATTACTTTTAAAATAAATTTAATTTAATTATAACTGTTATTTATACATATACGACCTAATTACAAGTATGTAGTTACCGGATCGTAACACAATATATGAGAAAGCATTTAATTTATTAACTTTATGAGACAGCTTGAACTGATTATGATTTACCCGGCAGTCTCCTTGTAGAGCAAGATCCCAGGGCCCCCAGACCTTGGTCATCTGGTCCTAGGGTCTTGGACTATTGGATTTTTCGAAATACTGTAATGTACGTCTATAAATAATTATTACCTATATTTAAACTAAAGTGGTCCAGAATCTACTAACTGAACGTAAATATTTGTATAATAGGCTCACCTCATACACTTCAAACCAGTGTAAGCACTTTACAGCCACTTGACCAATTCGGTATTATTAATTACCTATTTATAAAAAAGCTTCGGACTTTGTACTGAACTTTAGAATTATGATGATTGGTGAATCATTACATTTATGCAATGACTAGCATTTTTCCTAGTAAACTTCTCCGTAGATTTACATTCGTACATTACCTATGTAGGTATGATGTCAGCATACATAGAGGTAAAAGCGACAAAATTGGCGGTCGATTCAAATTAGGCGATATTCGCATGCACTCAGCGGAAGCGGACTACAGGGAAAACAAGGCGGTGAATAGCGAATTTGCCACAGGATTTTGATTAAAACGTATACTACCGTAAATATTGCCGATATGAACGCACCTACTGATCATCGTATGAGTGGGTAAAAATAGTACATTTACCCAGGTATCATTAAGTCGATGATGATTTCACGTACTTAGACAGTGAATGTCTCTTAACTCGTGACTTATGACACAAAACGAACTAGTGACATCATTTACGTGTTAAAACAAAGACCAATAATGTACACAAATGTGTAATAGTAATTAACAACATAAAAGGGATTTTTACGTAATATCGGGTTTTTGACACCAAACCGTGACTTGACTACCTTTTGATATGGTGACAAAGATATAGATGGCGCTAGGTCAAATGCTGTCCAGGCTACTATATGTATAATACATTTTGTGAATTGTATGACCTGCTCAGATGACTATGGTGTCCTAATGAAAAGATGCTCTAGTAATTAATATAACCCCCAAGCTAAGACAGGAAATTTTTGTTTACCAACCTTTAAGTGGCACCTAACGATAAAAGTAAAGGGGTAGTTTTTGGGCTCCCTCAAGCTAAGTACCTAACTCTGAACAGATAGTTTAGGGGTGGTTGAACATCCATTACACTGTTAACTATCTTATTAGCGATCACAAACTAAATACTTTAAACTTATTTATTTATGCGTGTCCCATTCCCGCATAAACCACCGGCTTGACTCGCGTGATACCTCACAGAAAACTGATGTGAAACTTCGCTTGCGTTGTGTTTTATTATGTGAGTCAGGTCACCGAAGGCCCAATTAGCCCATTCCCTGAATCTCCAACAATTCCCAAATTCTGAATCCTAATCCCAAAAGGCCGGTAGCGCACTTGCAACGTCTCTGGTGTCCATGGGTGACGCCGATTGCTTAACACCAAGGGATCCGTCTGCTCGTTTACCGGCTTATCTAAAAAAATACATAGTCTAATGTGTGATGTAAATAAATAATGAGTTGTGAAATAAAACCTCAATCGACTTTTTGTCCTATTCCGTAATTGGCACAGGCAAATGTTAATGAGTAACGTTTACCTTAATTACTCATTATCTACTTTAAACTATGAAGTTACTGATTAGTCATCGCTGTGCTCTGTAGACTTTTAATTGTTCTTTTTATATAAAATAGGTTGAAATCCCGTTACACTAACTAGACGTTGAATAAATATTATGAAACATACTTACACTTGCAGGCGTCTACCAAAATAAACAAGCTACTAAACTTAACTCCTACTGAATGAATACGGTTTGGTATATTCTTAAAAATAGGTATCCTTATAACTTGATAATGTCTTCAACAATACAGGAAAACCTGATATTCTTTTAAATGAACGATACAGTAAATGTGGTTTGTGATGATATGCACACTCGTTACATACTTAACCACGAATGTCACACAATACTTGGAAACCAGTATCTTTCTTGAAGGTCTGCAATAAGATCCTAATTGTATCATCTTTGTATATTTCCAGGTATGTGTTTGAATGGGAGAACCGAGAGAAGTCAGCACTGGCGCTGGGCGTTTGGTTGCTATTTTGGTTCTTCTTTAGAATGTGGATGACCCCACTGCTCGCAGTTGTCCCCTTCGTATACTTCTGGGCTACACGAAGTAAGTTATTCAGCCGTTTTTGAAATGTATCTGTATAGGTATGTATATCTTGTTTAGTGAGATTCCAGAAATTGCAACAATCAGACCTTGCCACTTATTAAATAATCGCAAAGTTTCAATGATACCAACGAAGATACTGTGATATGTACCTATGTACACTTATCTCTCTTTTTTGTTTTGTAGGAAGCTCCAAATCATATAAAATACAAAATACCATATCAAAGCACAGCTTTTATACCACAAAATCTCTAATAGTAGATATAATTCATCTCATAATTTATCATCGTTTTCAGATACAGCAAATCTGATTCCTATCTCTCAATTTGACGATGATTCTTCAGAAGACGATCTGGAATCAACTAAGGTACGTACTTTCTATAAATATAGACAAGAAAATGTTATACTATTTACATTTTGGCCGTACACAAGTCTACTTACACCGCAATGACCATAGATGTAATACGTAAATTTAATATTTCTGTGGCAATGACTATTATCGCCTGCACCTACCATATAGGCTGCGCTACGGCATCTGTATACATCTATATACACATATACGCCTATCTTATAAAACTGGTCATAAGTACAGCTAATATTGCTACGTATTGAGAAATTGACTTCGACTGTACATACTTATTTAAAAAGATTACGACATTTTAGTCATTCCTTGAATACAATGCATACATAATTATGTATTAGGTACTTGCATATTATTTCTAAGATACTTTGAAATTCATGCATAAATCAAACGTCGGTAAATGGGACGAACTAATTAAGTTCTTAGTAAATTCTATTGTGTCAGTTTTATTCATTATTAGGTACTACTTATTATTATGTTCATTAGTGTTACCTTTATTATTGTTTTTAATCTAGAGGTATATCTAATCCGATATAAATAACATCCTAAAAAATAATAACCGTTCTAAGGCATCTCTTCAACCAAAGAATACAATAGTAAATATACAATTAAAAAATAATTACTTTAATCAGTCCAGTCATTCATGCGTGACGCCGTGACCAAGGGAAGAAGGGATTCATTTATAGATATGTAGAAGTTAGTTTATTTAATAAATTCCCCTCAGTACGTAATAAGTCATATTGTAGCGTAATATATATTTACTCTTTGTACTTATGCAGTCAATTACATTTTATACCCTGCATCATCAGGAAAAATAACGTGCATTCAAAGAAATCCATTGTTATCTATAAAATTAGCTTGTTGATTACGTAGGTGCGTAGGTATCAGTTCTTCCCCATACAAATCTACGCTTCTTTAGGTACACTCGAGCACAGTTAGCCAGCCTAAGAGCGAGAGAGAGAGAGCGAGAGAGAGAGTGAGAGAGATACATCCTTCTTCCTACTATACGAATGAATATTCGCATTAAAATTATTTTACCACTCAAAGTCGTTCTCACGTAAAACTTTCGCCCGTATACCGACTTTACAGGCAACCAATTTTTTTTTATACCAAAATACTGGACACTTGTTTCCCTAAAAATGTTTGCCCTATAAGCACTAAGACGTCCTTCGTCAGTACCGTCATTTGTCGTGGTGTTTTTACAAACATATCTACACACCAAACCCAGCCATTTTCATTAGCCGGAACACGTTACACTGTAGTCATTACCGTACTAAGATTACATATATCAGATATAATATTGGAATTTTTGTGCCAATTAAAATATTATTTTTAATTTTATTTTTTATATATAATGTATTAATTTTACCGATTTTTTGTTTCAGGACGACAAAACAATAAAAACTCGTTTGTACGAACTACAGGATCTCACATTTACAATTAAGGATGGCATAGACTACATTGTATCTCTACTACAGAGGGTCAGGAAGTAAGTAGCATTTTACTACGTTTCCATATTTAAAAATATTCCCTTTCAGTAATGTGTAAAACTAGGTGAGAATTTATATGTAGATCTGACTGACATACTCCGAACAAAACACCGAAACAAATCAGAGGTCAGATGCTCTTCAAAAGTCGAAACAGTGATTGACATATAATAAGAAAACCGTTTTAAACCTAACTATTTAAGTCAGATGACCTAAAAACGACAAAAAGAAACAATGCCTTTCTTCCTAATTGCTTTTATCTATACATTCTTTTGTTTTACAAATTAACACAATTGTCTACCGATTGTCTAGGTTTCTATTGTACTGTTATACTTACTCTCGGTTTATTATATACTTAATTAATTAATAAGGATTATAAAGAATTTATTCAGTTCCACGACTCAACGACATTATATACCTAATCAAAGGACTCAATTATCTTTGCAAATTGAATGATAGAATTACACACCTCTAATAGAAATTCTAAAAAGAAATTCTAAAAAAAAGCTCAATCATTATACAATTTTGCAATTACCGTCATATTGTTATCGTTTTTAAGACAATGCTTAACATAAGTTTTGAAATTATTTGTCGGATTTCAGTGTCAATTCTTTACACACTTTTTATATCAGTCGTTCACTGGCATATTATTATAAGTAGATAAATTCTCATTTGTCTGAGAACTATATATTAATTTCTTTTTCTTGTTACAGCTTATTTACATTTGCGGTACCGTACTTAAGTTACCTCGTGATGACTGTACTGATTGCAGCCACCGTTGCACTCTACATCATTCCCATCAATTATATATTTATGGCATTAGGTATGTATTACTTTAATACATATACGTATACGTACATAATAAAATGTTCATTATAGGTGTTATATGTGTAGTTAAGATATAGGAATAGTTCCTTTAATTATTGATATTAAGAATACCTACATTTGTAATATCTCAATTATTAACTTTATATATTTGTATGACCTGAGTAATAAAATAACTGCTAAACATTAGTTAGATACTATTCATTACATTTTGATTTCGTATATTTAGCCATTAAATAAATGCTAATTTATGTAACATAACATCACGCATTTTATCCCCGAAGGGGTAGGCAGAGGTGCACACAGAAGTAACACCCACTTTTCACTATTTATGTTATGAGTCCCATGTAATAGGGGGTGAGCCTATTGCCATATACCGGGCACATTTCCAGACTCCGTGCTACTACTGAGATTTTTTTTAAAAACCCAGTAATAGGTACTTTGCCCGTCCCGGCAATCTAACCCGAGAGCCTTTGCCAGGTAGTCGCACTTACTAATTTATGTCATATAAATAATTTATTTTGTAGCAGTAAATGAAGAACCTATTTTGTTTGTAGTTAAACATTATCTAAAATAATGTTTTATATATTTTCAGGTATCTACAAGTTCATGCGCAAAGTGTTAAACCCTGACCGCGTTCCAAACAATGACATACTGGACTTCATATCACGGATACCGGACGACAAGATGCTGGTCAGTATAACAGACGATACAATATATATATATATATATATATATTTATACAAATGTGGATTTTAGTTTGACAATGAAAGCCCTAGAACTGAAAATTAACTAAATCACGTGTAAATTATTCAGTCACCGACGTCATGTAACTACGTCGATATATCTATATTTGGTAGAATAAACAATTTATTTACGTATACTGCGCATGCGTATGTCATGAAGTAATTCCATTTACAGAAACAATGGCGAGAACTGAGAGTCCCGGAGAATAACTTCAACAGAACATACTCGAAGAGGCGATAAGTAAGGAGAGGAAAGGCGCACTGCACGCTACGTTACTTACCCGTAATGATGTAGTGTGGCGCGGGCTTTAGCTCCTAAGAGCTCTTCGTTGTCAGCTCCAGTTTACTCCGATCAGCTCTTGTCAGCTCCTGTCAGCTCCGGAGCTATGAAGTCTCACAACCCCGACTACGACCGCCTTGCACAAAATTGTGCAATAAAACTACGTGATTGCATTGATTGCTCAAATTATTTATAATTTAATTTAATCTCATAGGTGATATTAATTATAATTATTTTGCCATTAGACTAATGAGCATTTAGATTCGCAGCCGCATTTTTAAAATTATTTCATTTAAGAAATATTTTTTATATTTATTTATAAAGTGGTTTGCGGATTTGTCTGATAAATTAGTTATAAGGTAATGTTTGTCATTTTCCTATCGATTCTAAGACAAACGACATGATAATGTTAATAACATTTTGTACAATAATAAACTTTATGGTTATTGTAATAATGATGAATGTACAAAGAAAATAGTATGCAAAATGCAAATACCTCCTAATAAGAAGCTAGGTTAACAATGAAATTGTGATGTTTAATTTTAAGAATGAAACAATGAATAATTATATATTCTCTTATATACAAAAATGTTTTTATTTAAATAAAAATATTATAGAAATATCTTATAAAAACTAATCTAATTTATTTTTAATAAATTTGGCACAATGACATAGTTCACTACAGTTTCCTACCCTAAGATTGCTTATATAATATCGCCCTGGACTAGGATATCTACTCGTATAATTATATCTTAAATTCTACAACTAAACTAATTAACTTCTTGTCATGTTGAACTTTTCCCTGAAGATGTGCTTGTACAGTTCTTATTGTTTTGAGGTTCTGGCACACTCAGTGGTTTCCAATCCCTCTGTAAAAAAAAAAAACAAAATAATTAACAACAACAAGAAAAGACATTTCTCATCTGTCAAACACTACTAGATAATAAGAATAACGCCATCTATTGCCGACGATCTTAAAGAATCTAATAAAAGCGACTAAGCACAAATCTTTGAACAGTCAAAAAGAATAGACTATTTTACTTAAATTGGTTAATCTCTTCGAAGATATTATAAAAAGAATTAATGAATACAAGGTAATTTACCAGTATTTTGTTGTCAGGTATCCTCGAAATGAAGTCCAATAAGTCATTGTTCAGTATTCGATTTGGATTCAAACGTTTCCTCCCGTATTTGTATATTCCTGAAACATTTAATAAAGAAATGAAATAGAAAATTATTAATAATTATAACACAGTCATAACTATATCAATAACTTCACGTCTGTCTCCTGATGGAGTAGGCAGCGACTATGGAAAGCCAATTGCTACGATTCTTACATACCTCTTTCACTTCATCAACAGTCATCAATCTTTTCACGCATACTCGTCGGTTAAGGATACTTTTAATTTAGCCCTTCTTTAATATAAACATGTCTTATTTATTTTTTCTTATATTCGGAGATGTAACTTACCAAATCCCATCATGAGGTATTTATAAGGGACAAAGTAGAGAAGTGCTGAATTTATGACTAGCAATATCATTGACAGGATAGTCAGAAACGGGACCTTGAATGTTGCTAAACTGAAAAATCAACGAAAACAATTAACATTTAATCACACACACAGACACACATAAGACAAAATTACACAGAGGAGGGTGACAATCGGATTTTTTTATGGCATTAGCCGGTAAACGAACAGACGGATCACCTGATGGTAAGGAATTGGCGTCGCTCATGGACACCTGGAACACCAGAGGCGTTACAAGTGCATTACCGGCCTTTTAGGGATTAGGAGTTTGAGGATCGTTGGAGATTCAGAGATGGGGGAGATTGGGGAAGGGGAGGGTAATTGTGCCTCCAGTAACCTCACTCACACGACGAAACACAACGCAAGCGTTGCTTGACGTCGGGTTTATGTGAGGCCGTGGTGTCATTCCGGTCGAGCCGGCCCATTGCCGAAGCATGACTCGCCCACTCTTAAAATGATGATGAGAGAATCAATTTTTTTTTCTTGCACGGCGTATATAACTATTCTATTTATTTATTCCATTTTTATTTGTTATTTATCATTTCTTCTTCTTGGAGTTATTGGAGAATCTATTGCGTCAACTTATCTCATAACGACATTTCTTGTCATAACAAATCTTGGAGTTCATATTGGCAGCACAATTAATTACTACTTACTTGTACAATCTTTCAGCTACCGAGACCAGATATTCTATACCCGCTGTTATAGTGAGTGTCATCTCTGGCAGACCTTTGATTTTATCCGACACAGACTCCCCACCCTGTCCATCATCTCCCGTGTTCCAGTCTTTAGGCCCTTCATCATTTGGAAGTTTCGTTTCTTGATCTAGAATAAACGAATTAATCTTATCATATATATACTGACACAGATAGGAATACAATTAGTTCAAAAATGATAAATTAAAAGTATTTCCACTTAATGCTGCATTACAGTTATTGTATCATAAATGATAAATGTATATAAAAATCCAATAATAGTACACCATGTGTGGTTTTTTATGTGCTTCGTGCCTTCTCTCACTTTTCAAAACCCTATTATATTAGACAAGTATTTAAAGCGGAATATTATAAATGTCTCAATTATCATTGCTTCAACTTAAAGTGTTTTCTTCCTTCAGTAAAAAATAGATACATAATCTATACTAATAAAAAGAGGAAAGATTTGTACCTATTTTTGTATGTTTGTAATGAATAGGCTCAAAAAGTACTAGGCCGATTTAAAAAAATCTTTCACCAATAGAATGCTACATTCTAGTTCTAATTTCACATAGGCTACATTTCATTTTGAAAAAATTTAGGGATCCTTAGTAAAATTTGAACAATGTAAGAAAAATGAGTCTTACAATGTCTTTCGTCGAATGCGCTGCCGAAACTATTAGCGATAGAACAAAATAATGTACAACAATATTGAAGAACATCATAATGTCTACAAAAAACTCCGCAGTAGCATATGTCCAACTATTGTAGTTATGTCACTACAACAATCCAAATTTTCAAAAATAAATAATTGTCTACCCCGTGCGAAGCCGGGACGGGCTGCTAGTTAATTATATACAGCTACGACGAGCGATGCAAGCGACATCTGTGGTGTGACATCAGCAGTACAAAGTTTGCATGCCACCTCTAGTCTGTTGGTACATGATAGTCTCTCAGTAGAAAGCAGTAATTCACACGCATTCTCAATAAGTTAAAAAATAACTTACGTAATTTGTGATCAATGAACCATATGACTGGGAACAGGGCTGCAATAAGCAATGGTGTCATCCATGGATCGAAATAGTACCAGAATATTAACCAGCAACAAAGTATTGTTGTCGATAACTCTCGATCATCCCATTCCAGAAATACCCTGCAAAACAAATTAAAATCAGATTTTACGATTATTCCTCCTATTATTGTTTATACCTTTCATCCTCTCCTCTTAATAGAGGTTATCCACATCCTTTCCTCTTAATTGATCTCTTAATAGTATAAACAATTTTAATTAATGTAACATTACAAACGGGAAAGCAAAACTGCACATTGTAACACCGACTTTTTCGTTTCTAACTAATTACACAATTAACCTCTTGGCTGTCGATATATTAGACGTACATATATTTGTGCGTACTGCTAAAGAGTGGAATTCTTTGCCTGAGTTTGTATTTCCTTAAGGGAGTCTTCAAAGCCCGAGTCAATAGGTTGCTTATGTGATGACGTGCTCCATCGTAGTCCGCATCATCGCTTACCACCAGGCGAGATATTGGTCAAACGACGCCCATCAAATAAAAAAAGCAATAAAAACACATTGTGTGTGGCGGATATTCGTTCCGACAGTTCACAGGTTAATGAGAATTTTGTAAGTCCACATTAACCAATTTTGTTTAACTCAGAACTTACATTGAGAGCAGAATCAAATCGCGTGCATTCATGTTATTAGAGGTCGATTCAACGTTATCAGCATAATGCACATGGATACAATTGCACATCCTACATGTGTAACACACACACGTGTGCAGAAATGTGTAAATAAAATAAACTAAGCAGTCAATCACACAAGTCATTAAAAGATAGAGATAACGTACCACGCATTTGATTATGCATTACTTTTCACAAAAATGTGCTCCGTCCGATATGAGAATGAGTTGCAAAAGTCCCTATCTATATAGATTTACCTACTAAATCCATGTAAAGACCGGTGAGTCATGTACATAACTATATACGAATATCCTAATACATAATACGTGCATACTTGCACTCACATGATTATAGAATAATGTACCAATCCAAGGGTAAAACAATATGAATGTCACAACAGGATTCAATAGAACACCATTTGTTTCTTTTGTACTCCAATGTGCACCTAAATATCATACTTATAAACTTAGAATCAAGTCAATCATATCAGGAGCTGAACGGACCTGCATGAAAACTGGAACAGTTGCTCTGAGGCAGGTGGTGTAGATTACTTTTACCCCGCATATCACCGTAAGTGGAAAACATTTAGTCCACTAGTTAAGTCTATCACAAAGTTGTGTATTCACTTCCGATACAAAAGATACTTACTTAAAATGTTCGTTGAATGAAAAGAGAGCCTCAAATGTATCTCTGATGAACTTGCAGTTCTTGTAAATCAGTGGTATATCGAACTTAGGCGGCTTCGTTATGTACTTCACCTGTTTCGGACGAAACAGTTTCAATGAAGCAATCACCTGGAAAAAGATACATCAGTTATTTTAACTTACCATAGCTTATAATGGGGGTCTTTAATAATAATCTAAATACCTATGTATCTAGATAATGTACTAAAATCGGATATGAATCACCTAATGAAAACCCCAATTCATTATTCATCTTGCATTGAACTTTGAACAAGCATCCAAACATCTAATTAAAATTCCCACATATGGCGCAAGGTGAACAATAAATCTCCCGGATTATAGTTACAATCAAAACAATTATCGCAGTTTGTTATCAAGATTAATTTATTATGAAATTCTGTTTTCATAGCACGTGAATTAGTACTAACGTACCAGCTGTTCAGGATTACCTACGTTCATAGTTCAGAATCCTTGAGTTGAATGAGGATTCTAGATTAACTAACAATGATGGCGACATAGTTTAAATACCCAATGTCGCAGACAAAAAGATTAAATTATTACCTAATTGTTTTTACCGAAGAATACTCAAAACGACGAAAAAATAAATGATTTTCAGATGGTTCATAGATAGAAGAATTTCGTATTGGAATTTAAAGATAAAAATTCGACAATTCTAGAGTTTTCCTTTTTCTAATTCCCATCAATCATTGATTCGCACCGAGATATCAGTCGTCGCACTTACCTACACTAACTTTTAAATGTTTTATTTCATCGTACTTTTAAACATACCTTGATTAAATTAAATGCCGTATACAGTGTCAGTTAACGTTGATAAAAGAAATATGTACTTACAGGATTCCAAAATATGTTCATCTCCAGTCGCACTCTAGGACAGTTACCCCTCGCCCCCTTCTTCTTACAGCTGTCTTTGAGTGCGTACCAGCAAGCTTCACCATTATTGATCCTGAGCAATGGTATAATCACTCTGCCCAGAAAGTCGTACAGCAACGAATTTATGGAGCGATCATATACCTTCAGCTCAAAGGTCGATGCCACGTCGTATATATTACTGGAAGCCAAAAATATTAATTTAAATAATAGGTAGGTACATTTGTTTTCGCCGCATGAGTGAAGTTACCGGATGCCCAATTCCTCCCATCCTCATTCTCCCCAAATCCCCAAACTTCAAATTTCCAATCCCTAAAACACCGGCAATGCGTTTGTAACTGCTCTGGTGTTGTGGGTGTTCATCGATGGCGCCGATTGCTTACCATCAGGTGATCAGTCTGTTTATTTACATAAAAAAATATATTGTTTAATATTTTGCAAATAATTTACGCATAATTAAAAAGTCAAGCGGAAGATAGGTGACTATCAATTATCACTACTTAATCCTGCGATAGCTGATGTCAAATTGTTATTTCTTTGATTATTTTTTTAAAAACGTCAACAAAGTATGTTCTTTCATTTGTTATTCGATAGCGTTATCGGGAATCTATGAACTTGGGTACAAAAAATATTTAGGTAGCTATCTATGTACATATTATTATTACGTATGTATTTTGTGCGAACGCAGGAGGTGTAGATTTGATAAGATAACTCAATGAATCCTCTTATAATGGAAAAAATACTATCAAATAGACATTTGAGACCAATTCACATACACAAGCATACGCAATCACAAAAAACAAACTTGAAAACTTCAATCTAAGTTCTACTTCTTATGATACCATTGAAATACATGCAAATATAACTTGTCATTAAAATAGTGGAAAGTGGAGGAAACACAGACATGAACGATAATACGGTAAACGAGCAAACGAATCAGCTGATGCCTGATGGTAAGCAATCGGCGTCGCCCATGGACACCACCTGGAACGCCTGAGGCGTTACAAGTGCTTTACCGGCCTTTTGGGGATTAGGAGTTTGAGGATTATTGGGGATTCGTGGATTGGAGAGATTGGGGAAGGAAGATTGGGCCTCCGGTAACCTCACTCACATGATGAAACACAACGCAAGCGTTCCTTCACGTCAGTTTTCCGTGAGGCCGTGGTATAACTACGGTCGAGCCAGCCCTTTCGTGCCCAAGCATGACTATCCCACACTTAAAATTTCGAATGCAACGTTTCTATTGGATATAATAACTTTTCAATTTACCTTTTTAAATGTTTTTATCATAACTATCGTGAGACATACTAAATTGAATATATTGAGAAAAGCTCTACTAGTTTCGAACCACAGAGGGGTTCTTTCTCATAAGTAGCGTGCGCGGTCGCGGCGATGTCGCGCAGCCTACTGGAGTAGGCCTACTGGATATATATTTACGTAAGTAGCCCGTGAGTTTTAGTTAATTTACCTTTATAAACACAAATAAATATGAATAGAAGACACTCACAATACGTAGGTTTTGTTCCAAACAGGTTCCGAACTAGAACTGACTGATGGAGTTTGCACCTTCTCATTGTCCAATTCCAACGTACAGTATGCATTTGGCTTGCCATAAAGCCCCTTAGCTCCAATCACTTTCACATGTAACTGGCCAACAATACTTGTGTCTGGCGTTAAGTTATAAAATGCCTGAAAAATAATAACATTATTACAAAATGGTTCAAGAGTAAATGCAATGCCCGATAACAATTATGTTGACTTTATTTTTATCTGTCAATTACTTGTACAGAAGTTATTGATCTCTTTTGAATGTGACATGAGAGTGTATCACTTTAAAAAGTATTAGACAAAATCCAAGCTAAAGTATGCCCTATTTCTAATTTACTTTAAATTTACGTTTAATACCTTTGATATTCACAACTACGTTAAATTATACTCCAATTAACATTTTCACCCTTAAACGCTACGTAGGAATGTCTACGCAATCCTGGCTACGAAATCTACGTGGACGTAGCACTGCTACGTGTTGCTACACCTGGAAAAAATCGTAGACTGCGTAGTCCAATCCAGCACAGTCGTAGACGCTTACAAAGTGCTACGAAGGTGGTCTACTTTCGAAATGTTTCAATACTTATACTAAATTTATGTATACTAAAATGAGTACACTTTTATAATTACGTACATATTTTGACTGTAAGCCGTCTACATTTGGTTCATTGCTCGAGGTCGCTTGATTAGAGTCTTGTATCGTACGTGTGGTACATAATGTTACTGACAGATGAACGGATCCGTAGCCTCCGTCCAGGTCCTGCCATATGTCATGTGTACGCTCCCTCTCCCGAGTCGACAGGTCTAGAACACAACTTTTAAAATAATTTAACTAAGTACCTAAAAGAATGGAATATTTTCGATAAGTAAAAACTTACAATTAAACATTTTATTGAAATACATAACATAACATAACATCATGCCTTTTATCCTCGAAGGGGTTGGCACAGGCGACACTCACTCACTACAGGTAACACTCACTTTTCATTATTTATGTTATGAGTCCCATGTAATAGGGGGTGAGCCTATTGCCATATACCGGGCACAATTCCCGACTTCGTGCTGCTACTGAGAATTTCTTTAAAAACTTAGTAGTACTTTGCGCGACCCGACCGGTAATCGAACCCGAGACACTTGCGACCACTCGGCCAACGAGGCAGCCTTTATTGATAAAGAACATATTTTTTCAATTTATGTAACATTAGCATAATAAATGTATGGAAGATTTACTTTAAAAAGCAATTGACATTACTCGGCCCAGGACATTACACATACGACATTATATGCATTTGAATTATAGATATAAAGTCCCTGGATAAGGACCTTCGAACTAAATAGCAAAAAAATATAATGTCCAAGTTCAGTGGCGCTCTGCCCAGTACCTATTGCCACTGACCTGGGGGGTTAAGGTCACTCAGATAAGCTGCACGTTTATACAAACAACCAATCAGTTTGTCTGCTGAATATAATAATATATACTCATTAATTAACTAGATCAGACTCCCATATAATAAACACAGAGTACTTATATTCTATTTAATATCGGTTTGTTTACCTATCAGGTTAAACAAATTTAAATGGACTGTGATATGTATGTTAGTGTTAAGAATGTTACAAGTCACATTTTAAGTGCCCAATACCAACTCTATTGTTTTGTGGTTTGTTGACAACATTTCAATTTATTAATAAAAAACTATGAATAAATTAACATAAACCTTTGTCTTAATAAATAACAAAATTGATACAATTTATTTTCGGAAATGAGAACAAACTCCTAAATTAATAGGCAAATTGGTAAATCAAAAATAAATAATATTTATATTTAATCTGTTGAATACAAAAATAAGCACATAGACAATATAACTTTGTTTTTAGTACATAGTTATCTCTATCTATTTTTAATCTGTGGAGATAGATTAGAGGTACATATATTTTATCGTCAGTAAATAGTTCAATGAGAGAACTTATAAACGGATATTCGATAACGAATAGAAGCGATTGCAAAATCAAATACATTTATTGATGTAAACAAATATCGATTGTACTTATTAATTCTGTAAGACGTAATTAATGTCTAACTAGTAGGTCACTTGGGTACCTAAATTGACCCGTGAGATTATAGCTAGGTACCGTGTCTAAGTAAAATAATGTTGCTTGTCGAAAGTCAATCACATAATTATATTTATAAGGTGATGATGGTCTGTTAAAACACGTTAATCTACATATGAAATATAGTAAATACTTATGAAAGTGAATTAAGCCAAAAACAAATCTTCTATATCAAATACGTATAAAAACATGGATCTAATGATGTTACATTGTTGCGAAAATGTACGTTAATGGGTAATAAGAATGTAAAAAATGAGTGAGTCAATAAGTAACAAGTAATATAAATAGAATATTTTCCCATACCTGCCCATAAAATTCTTCTGTTTCCCTTTATCCCATAACGATATTGTTAGTAGCTGATCGTTGCGCAGATGTAACCTGAAACTTTCCCGCCATTGTGGTTGTCTTGTGGCGGGAACGGACTTAGATTTGTAAGACTGAGAACCCAAACTGTAACAAATAAGGTGAAATTATATTGAAATATTCTATAATTAATTAAAGTATTTATCGCTTTTTATGATTCATATTTCACAATCTTACTAGGATTTCCCTTGTTAACTTCCTTTGTCGATTAATAATTTAAAAAAGTCTCTTCTAGTATAGTATTGAGTTAATCAATGTTGATCACTATTTAGTACCGTGATATTATTTACCTATGTCCTATTAATTTAATGTAAATGTTATTAAGGCCTTTATTTACACAAACTTTGGACAGCAAACAGTAATTAAATCATTTACAATATATCAATTTACTTACTATAACTCAGTTAATTTTGAACGAATTAAGTATAAGTAAAATGGATAATAGAATACTTTTTACCGGAATTTGCAGTAGACTGCGTGTGAAGCGCCATCCTGCGGTTTGTCTGGAAGACCCTTAGCTTCCACAATGACCACATTAACGACTGTATTCCGTATGTTTTTGTCAAACCTTAGAGAGAATTTCCTGTCAGTTTTTGGCTGTAAGAGAGTTAAGAAATGTAATGGATTACATAACTAAACGTTAATAATCAAAATACATTTTTAGGCATCTAATTGGGCAGGTAATGTCGGATGCTATGTGTTTAAGTTACAGGTAACATATTAAATGGATCCCTTTTCGTTGTGCTGCTTGTGCTTATTATTATTAACAGAGCAAGGTTAGGGTAAATTAAAGGTAAATACCTATAAGATACTATAGTATAGGTACACAACTATCGGATTCACAGGAAAATTCTGTGAACAGCACCAGACCAAAGCTGGAACTTAATAGGACGGATCGCTAATCTTATAAGTATGTATACTCAATAGAGAAACTCGTCCTTAAATATTCAAATGAACAACCCCTATGGTCGTCAGCGCTCAAGATTTTTAAATGTTGTTACATTTAAAGCTAGGTCGTATTTACAGAAAAAAGAACCGAAATTACCTATGAAGGTTGTTAAGTAAAAATATGATAAGTGCCTTACTTATAACAAAAATATCCCCAATCCCCAAATCCCCTCTTATCATAGTCCTAAACCCCAAAAGGCCAGCACTTGTAACTCTACAATAGTGTTGCGGCCATAATTCATGAGCGGCGCCGATTGGCAAACGAGAAGATAGACCTGATACCATCAGGTTTAAGATCTATCTTTTCGTTTACCAGCTTATACCATAAAAAATAATTCTTTACCTTTTCATCAGTAGGTGTTTGAGGGGGTGTAAGTAACGCAGGAGTAGGAGTTCCTGGACGTCTTTGTTCATTGTTTACATGATTGCTCGGTTGTGGACTGATGCTGCCATTATTGCTGCTGTTACTGTTGCTTTGGACATTGTTTGTAACAGTCCCATTGCTTATTTTGTTTACAGGCACGGATTGAAGTACTGGGTCTGGTCTTCTAAGGTAGTCACTGGCTATGTTTGCAATTGAAGAAGGGCGCCACCTGTCGATAAAATGTATGTGATTAGAACTAAACTCTTTTGTTGTGACAGATTTTTCATGTTATCCTTTAATTGAATTACTTATTTAGTTAAATGCAAATAGTAATACACTGTTATTTTAAATTTAGTTTCCGTCGCGTTAAGTAACCGTTCCGATTTTACCGAATAATTACTGCAAGAGCGCACCTAATAAGTACCGTAAAAATTAATATGTTTGGGTTAACCCTTGTCAGTATACTTATTTTATACTCGCAGTGTACAATGAAACAATATCTTTCTGAAAAAACAAAATTAAATAATAATTATTTGAAAATACTACTTTAGGTAGGTACTCTTTGTTTCTACATTTCTGGAATAGCGTAGAATATAAATTGAGTTAAAGCTCTATTAGGTAGTACCCACGTTCAAAATATAACATTAATGATATACCGGAAATCTCACTCATTCATCCTCTTCAGGGAATAATAGACGTGATGGTACTGCACGTGGGAATTAAAAAAAAATACCATGGGTACACTATAGTGAAGGCGGCCTTAACCAAACACTTGATTATATTTTGCCCATTCATTTTAATTGTTGCTATTCATCAATAGTACATTATCGTAAAACAAAAATAACAAGTTCAAATAATGACTTTGCAACAACAACCGTATAAAAATATTAATTAGGCACTTAATTTATTAATTCCGCTCCTATTTTACTTCAAATATAACTAAAAACACCTAGTTTGACACTTAATTTTAACACATAAAATATATCTACTTACAATCCAGAACCATTTTTAGACACTAAAGCACTATCGAGAGAATGCCTCGATTTTTGCAAACTTCTATGATTCGGCTCCATAATAAATAATATGGCCGATTTATTTATTGTTTATTTGTGACACAATTAACACGACACCACATAAGAGCAACGACTTAAAGCATCTGTGAAGGAAGATGTTGATACACTGGAATTAGCCTTGTATAAAGTCCGATAACAAAATTATAATCACATTAATAATTACTAGATACGGCATAATATATATACCTACCTAACATAATATAAGTAAACGCTATCGAATCTTATCTATTTAATTTCAATTCCAATAATTTGTCATTCCCACATTGTTGATAAGTTTTTAGACAATAAGTAGCTTGTTCTTTCTTCAGAACTACCAAAAATTGGCCCTTTATTACATAACCTTGTATAGGATAAACAAAAACATAAAAAAATTAAGGTAATCAGGATTTAAGGTTACCGGAGGCCCAATTACCCCCCCCCCCCCCAATAATTCTCAAATTCATGATCCCCAAAAAAGGTGTCTATGGGTGGCGCCGATTGCTTACCACTTACCACCAAGTGATTAGTCTGCTCGTTTACCGGCTTATTCCATAAAAAGGACGCCTGAAGGAAGGAAGGAAATGTCATATACTTCTTTTATCAATAAGATGCAGTGAAAACTAAATATCTTCCTGCTATAAAGACCTAATTAAGATGAATAATAAGTTACTTCACACGCGGTACTAATTATATTTATCTATGAGGAATAATATTAATGTGGATATCTCAAATTTATCTTTGTAGAAGTCTTCCTTCTTAGATATCAAGTGACCCCTAACTATTAGGTACGATAGACGATATCTACGAGGTTTCTGTTTACTTTGATGCCGAATTTTAGCAGGTAAAAATATAAGGGGAGAATTTAGATAGGACTAAGTAAGTTCCTCCTATCGAATTGAGCTGTAAGTGTGATAGATAGGTAGGTATTCATCTACTTAAATCACACACACCCAGAACTAACAAAAGGCTCCTTATTAGTCTTTAGAGCCGAAGACCAGTTAAGGATGCTACATCACTTTAACTCGTCGAATACCGGTTTTATAGACACAATTAAAGAACAATAGGTCGCGGTCACCGGTGACCGCTTGTGCGTTCCTCAAGGTTCAATATTAGGTCCCTTTCTCTTTTTAGTCTTTATAAAAGATTTGCCATTTATACATATTCAAGAATAAACCAAGAATCACCATTCTAAGAAATTAATGATGTATCCTCTGCAAAAAGCATCCTTTTTGCAGATTATACATCATTAATTTTTAAAATAGATCGACGTGCAAATAATTTTAACAACTTAAACAGCTCCATTCTTCGAGTGCATAATTGGTAATCTAGCACTTAATAAAAAAAAATCAAATTATGGATTAATTGAAATAAATGCTTTGACTTTGACTTTGACTTAAAATACTGGAGAAGTAGGTAGGTAACTCGCCCAGCTGCAGACCAAAGTGTGAAAATTGATAGAACTTTAATTCTCCTAAGCCTAAGGACTTTATTGTCAACGATGTTATGATTAATTTGGTCTTAAAAATTTATATCTGCACGTATGCATAATAGGCAAGGTTTAGTTACCGCAGGTACCAATGGTATCCAGCAGTAGCATAGTATGCAATCTCTAGATCATCTCTCGATTTGATCAAATGAAAGGAATGGTATATTATGTATTGCAAAAAATAATGAATTGTACAATACAAATAATTGCAAATAATTAACTGTTACCGACAGACTCCTGCTGCAAAGCAATTAAATTATTCGGGATTTCAAATCACATTAGAGTTAAGAAACTAGTGACATCTAGTGTGTAGTAGTTGAAACAAAACGTTTGTATCTGCTTACCGCTAGGAGCGCTGTACGTCGGCGTCTAGGAACGCGTCACTATATTTTGTGGCGCTAGTGTCATTACAAATTACAGTTTTCGTTTGTGATTTTGTGTGGAACGTAAGAGGTTATGGAGTAAAATATCAATTTTATTTGGTGTGAAGTGCTGTGAATTGTTATCCAAGATGACTACGGATACGAGAAGGGATAGTTTATCTTCCTATAAAATATGCCGTTTTTGTTTAGCTCAAGGAGATTCGCTAACAAGTATTTACCAAAAACGAGCTACAAAAAATATCATTCATCTGCCACTAAAAATATTATCATGCGTCTCGATAGAGGTATACAATATTTGTATTTTTTTCTACTATCTAGTTTCATATAACATATTTTATTCCAGTTATTTGATGGTTTTTGTCTACGTACAGCGCAATGGCGCCGAATGTACATATTGAACAATTTAATCGAATGTTTACTTATTCCCCTGCATAACCGTTGTTGTATGACTTACTATGCCTATGTTTTGCATGTTAGGTTTCTATGAAATTGTTTGGTTGATGTGTATGTCCATAATTTGTCGAAATTTTCAATTATTTTGTTCTGCAGGCGCCATCTGGTGTACACAACCATAATGATTAGTTTCAGTAGTAAGGATTACAACAACTAAAAACTGTTTTAATGTCTATAATTATGTACCTACTATATAAAGTTCAAATGTGTTAATTATATTAACATTTTCCAGGTCTTCCCATCTGACAAAATGCCAACATATATTTGCAGCCGATGCAAATTTTTCATGGAATTATGTTATGACTTCAAACATGTATGTCGGCAAGCTGATGAACAGATCTTGCAGTATGTGCAAAATGCCACACCGTTGTCTGCCATATCCTGGCCACAATCCCTAGTTAAAGTAAGTCAAATTCAAGAAATGTTGTAAAAATTGTGTACTTATTCACCGAAACTACAAAATAGAAATTATGGATTTCGTTGATAATAAATTTGTATCTTTTTTCAGATATTTCGTTTAGCTAATAATAACAAAATAGCTGAGGTGCCTCTGATGAAAGCTGTAATAGATGGAGGCACTACTGTTCAGGTTACTGCCCAAGAATCTGACTCTGATGAGGAAGATGATGAGAATGTGTACAATGTAAAAGTAAGTAAAGTCCAAATTATTCCTATATCCATACAATATGAAGTCCACATTGACAGAAGAAATCACTGATGTTGGTGATGGAAAACATTGAAACTAAAAAATTTTAATAAACCAAACAGACAGTTACAAGCTAATGATATTAATGAAGTAGTCTTAGTACTTTATAATTTGTATATTATGTAGTAAATTTTGACATTTATTTTGGAGCAACTTTTGAAACTGCACTTGCCATGAGCATACCTTTGCTGGTGTATTAAAAGTAATTACTACTCATAATAATACATATGTAGTTCCAATATTATGTATATTATATAAAGCTGAAGACATTGGTTGTGTGAATGCGCTAACCTCAGGAACGACTGGTCCGATTTGAAAACCTCTTTCTGTTGGATAGATTTTATCTTTTCATTTATCAATAATAGGTTATAAAACACCACTCTATGATCAATAGGCACCAAGCAGAGCTGAAAAAACCGCTCGGAAAGTAGCCAACTTCTAATAATATAATAACTATAAATTAATTGTAGATTGGAGATGGTACTGATGATGGGCCAAACAGTGCCAGAGTGAAGGTCGTAACAGGCGCTGACAAGCAGGAGAAAGCAAAACAAAAACGTGGAGGGAAAGGTAAGTAAAATAAAACATCTATTTTCACTACTACTTTATTTTGTAAGAACAGTTATGCAAAAATGTTCCCAACCACAAATTACTTATTTTAGATAACTTTAAAGGGTTTTGTTAAAAAATTTGTTAATTAAATTCTTTGATCATGGTCCATGTTAAAGACCAAATAAGGAGGAGTATTTCTCATATACCAATAAATATTATTTCACAAAATGAGAACTTAATATATTTATTTATTTATATATGAACTCTTTAATTCACACAAAAATAAGGTACATAAGGCGGACTTAATGCCATATAGCATTTTCTCCCAGTCAACCTTTATTTTAATTTAGCACTATAAAGTATAATACTCCTTCCTAAATATAGTATAGTACTATATTTAGGAAGGAGTATTAATACTTAATTCACCTGGATGTCCTATACCTACCACAGGTTAGTTTTCTTATTGGTGGAGCACCTAAATAATATCGAAATACCTTTGGACCATGGCCTACCTGAATTCTATTTCTTGTGATTACCTTTGTACACACATCAAGCTAGAAAAAACCAGTATAAACTGGAAACGAAAACTGTTTAATCTGTAGAAAGATCATACAAAACAATACCATGGTTAACTAACCAGTTACTGACTGTACATAACCATGTACAGTTCAATGGGTTTGTGTAGCTTGAAGTACCTAGTACATCTAAGGAGCACTATTTAGCCATCAGACCACCACAGATGGGGCCCAATGGGGCTGACGGCTTAACGGGTTGCCGGGGTTCCGGTTTGAAGTGTGGAACGGGGTGGTTTTTAGTCAATAAGAGTCTGACACTCACTCTCGCCTCACCCAGGCGGGATAGGACATTAAATGATTTTCCGCTCTTGAAAAAAAGGAGCTCTTTTTCCATTGATGATGGAGTGAAATATCACTAGAAAGAAAAATTGCCTGTAGTCCATGGTGCACCTTGATGGACTTAATTGGTGGTCTTCAACCAAAGACTTATGTCCAAATACTCAAAAGTACTCAATTTTAAGTCGCGCTTAATTATAGTTCTGCCACTGCAAATTCTTTGTATAATGACGGAGATGGCGCATTACTTGAGTACTGAGTAGCCTTTCAGTATTCGGGCGTCGTTTATTCAGATCATAAAAGTTCAGAACACAACTTGTTAGAACAAAACTTTGTACCATGAAGATACAGACCAAATTAATAAGTGATCATAATCCAAACTTTTTAGATTGATCTCTGTTTTTGACAGAAACTCCATACATCTTTAATCAAAAATCGACCTTCATGCACAGATTTTGGATTTAAATTGGTTAATCAATCAAATCAATTTATTAATTTGGGCCTTTGTGTTCCGTGTTCATATCAAATGTAAATGGAAACATTTTCACATAACTTGTATAACTTCCTATAATTTATGTTTTATTTTTTATTTAAGTAAGAATGTCTTAAATGTATAGGAATCTCTATTGCCATGTGTTCATAGCTTATACTATCATCTACACATTTATTTTTAAGCATGCTTGCGATGTCTGCGTTATCTGCCCGTAGAGGTGTCAAGTTTGAACTGACAATTGCTCTGTAGATTTACTTTACATACTTGACTAATGCCATAATGAACCATAAATAATTAAGTATATTAAATTTAAACGAAGCACTAATGTTTTACCTACCTTATCTTAAGTAAATGTTATTTAATGTAGCACCTAAACTAACTCGTATTGTTAGGTGTCACTTATTATTTAAGACGCCCACTTCTCATGCATGAGGGTGCGGGTTCGAAACCTACCAACGGCAAGTACCAATGTGACTTTTTCCGAGTTATATGTACTTTCTAAGATTATTTAGACACCACTGACAAACGGTGAAGGAAAACATCGTGAGGAAACCTGAACTTATAATTTGTAATTATAAGTTTGAAATCGCCAACCCGCATTGAGCAAGCGTGGTGATTAATGCTCTAACCTTCTCCGTGTGAGAAGAGGCTTTGCTCAGCAGTGGGCATTTATAGGCTGTTATGATTGGTTGGTGATAAACAAAATGTGTAATAGGGGTTAAAATTTTGAACAGGTTGGTGAAAACAGGCATTTGTATTTTTCTGCATAATCAAAATACCTCCTAGTTCATCATGATGTCAGAACTCAGCTCAAACGTGGCACAGACTACACTTTTAAGGCAACACTTGTGGTGTATTATCTTCTATTATTTCACGAATGTCAATTGCGAAATGTGTAGTAATTCGGTAGCCATTTGTGATCCATAGCTTATCCTTGCAGTCTTATGAAAGGTATGTGACTATTCTGTGTGTATGTAGTTTTAGTACTTACTATCTGTTTATTGTAAAACTACGTCTTTATTTATTTTAATGCACTGTTGTTAGCTGCACCGACTGTGTGTTCCCGCATGTTCCTTGTGCTAGTATCTCTAATATTATAGTGGAGTGAACCCAAATATCATAAAATTAATGATTTGCTTTAGTATGTTGCAAGGACGTATTGGAAGATGAGATTGAGCCAGTCGAACGCTACCAACCGAATCCAGAGTTTGTAGAGTAAGTTGTGTTCATCCTACTTGGAATAAGTCAGCCAGCCGCGTTTCTTCCAAATTTTGGATTTTTATGTACCAATTGGCTTTTAGTGTATCGAACGTCGGGAACACTCGAGTTAGAACAATCAGCGGGAATGCATTATTTAATACTGTGTTGATTTTATCCTGTACTAATCACTAACCCTTTCATATATTCTAGTTAAAATGTGAACCAATCATATGTTGTGAAATTGTTCCATTGCTTGCACCCTGTACAGTGATTGTGATGATAATATAGAATATTATTATATCATATCATAATATTATATAAAGGAGCTGTCTCATGAGCCTCTACATGCAATCGAAGCAATCGCTTCGGACGCATGTACGCCTTCCGTTGTCGGGGATCCCATGGTCCTCCGATAGGAAAAGACATACAAAATAATATTGATTGTTAACTCACAGATCCGGGACCGTAAAGACCGCGCACGCGCGGCGGACTGGCGATTTCGGAACATTGTTTGCAGATATTTTGTCTAAATGTCCGAGTACCGTAATTGATAAACGTTTTTTACAGAATCCTTAGAGAAGCCATGATCAAGCAAACTCGGTGTCGGAACCACGCGATTATGCCGAATTTTCGGTGTAAATTCTGCCCACTGCGTGAGTGCAACGAGGCCAGCAGAATCTAAACAATTAAAATAATCATTGACTAGCTCATGAGCTATGAACACACGTGTATTTATGTATCACTTAGGGCCACGGATCTCTGCGAAAGAAATATTTAACTCCTAGTTTCTAAAAGTCAACCCAATATTTGAAATACTTTTTAAAATGAAGAATTACACATCTGTAGTTTACACGTCGTTTATACTGATCACGCTTTCAGAAGCTAGGAGAATATATTTGAATGTTTTTCAATGTGTCACATACAGTACAGTCGACCACGCATGTGGTGAATAAAAGCGCTTTAAAATCATATTGCTGCCATAGAAGTGGGATTGACTGTACAAACCGTTCAAAATAAATATTTAACATTTTAATGTTTTTGTTAAAGGGTTCCATACGTCTCAGAAGTTGGCGAAGCACGTCCAGTCTCACAGCGACAACAGATCGTTCCCGTGCAAGTACTGCAGTAAAAGTTTCGTTAAATCTCATCATTACACAAGGTAAAATGTACTAAATTATCATTACTCCTAAGAATATTTTGCCTTGTATACTATGTAACCGACCCTTATCCTCAATCACTTAGATCACTTAGGTCATATAAAAAAGTGCTGCTTTCTATTGACCATTTTCAAAATTAAATTAATTATTTCATCTATTCTATCTTCAATAGCTATATTGTATGCTGTCCATTATGTATACCATCTAATCGTGAGTGCATCTCCCACAGACATCTTCGTCTAAAACACCGTGAAACAATACGTACTTGCCGTGGTCCGTTCGGTGAGAGCGACCAGTACCGGTGCGAGCAATGTGAGGACAGTTTCGCAACTCAAGACGAGTTAATCTACCACTCGGCTATACACGCCACGCAGAATCTCACCTGCCCACTCTGCCAGGAAAAGTTCGAAGATGTCGACGGAGTTACAACACACATTAAGTCTCATGTCAGTGGTAAGTATTCTTACAATCCTTATTAAACAAAGTCCGTGTATATTGCATTACACAAAAATTTAAAAAACAATTCAAATGTCTCGCAATGATAATCTGGCTAATCCTTCAGCCGCCGTATTATAACATTTTCAAAACGGCTGGCCGTTATGTAATACGGCGGATTATATAATTCGCCAGCTAGAGATATATTTATTTAAATAGTTAAAAATTAAATAGGGTCACACAAATAAGTCAATCCAAGTTTGTAACAAATACTATAATTATAATCTTAAAATATCAAGCTAATTATTTATTATTTTGAATACAAAATAAATAAATGTAAAGAATGATATATACTTTTATCCCAGATTGTGTGTCTGTGATCTCCATAGGTACGGAATACATGTGCGAGTTATGTGAGCTGGTGTTCACATCTAAGATTAAGCTGAACACTCACATGCACGTGGCACACGACGAAGAACTGCGCAGCGTACCGGTAATACCTTCATGCTACTCATTACATATTTTATATGCATGTATTAACATTTTAGGAACTAACATTACTTTCTCACATTGTGACATTCATAATAGCAGTGTGAAAAAACCCTTAGTTTGTGAATTTGATTACCATACTCTACAAAATAACTACAATTTTATTAAATAACTTACTTAAAACAGAATAACTGCTTCCAATTCTAGTACTCATTTCTATCTTTTTCCTTTCAAATCAAATATGTATCAAATGAAACTTGTAATTAAAATTCTACATATAGTTTAATAAGATATACACACCATAAAGTTTACTTATACATGTTATCTGTTGCAGGAGCTGGGCCAAGATGAGTCTTCCACAGAGATGGATGTTGATGAAGAGGATGATGACTCGACCATCAACGGTAAGTAGTGCATTCTAGTACAGTGGGTTTATATACACACAGACTCATGCCATTGTAAAGAAGTACAGAGTCTCTTCTAAGCATCTTTCTTGCTTTCCATAAAAACCAGTTAAGAAGGTTCTTTACTTAACCTGAAACTAAGAACTGAACTTCCAAAGACTATAATAGGATTGCAAATACCACCCTTATAGTTTACAAAATAGTGACTATGTTTTAATAAAAACTAGCGACCCGCCTCCGCTTCGCACGGGTGCAATATGCATGTATTATACATATAAACCTTTATTACCTAAACATTGATTACATTATATCAACTTGTTTTTTCAGTAAAAGAGCTGGGCGACCACATGGTAGTTGAAATTAAGAAGACTGATGAATTTTTGGTAATTATATTTTCTTTTTAATGACTTGTTTTGATATTCAAACAAATTAACTCACATGACTGCCGAATTTATGGAAGTAAGATTAATGTTAATATTTTTTCCACAGATATCAAACCCCCAGGAGGAAATGGAATACAAAACTGAAGCCACAAATTCTGAAGGTACTCAATTATCTAAATTATTTCAAGGTTTAAAAAGAAATTCACTAGTAACATTTTTGTCAATAAAGAATTATTATTATTGTAGAGAGCGAAAATGACACACTACCGGATCTCTCGACAGCTGTAGCGATAGTTAGCAAACCTACGAAAGATGCAGAGCCAGTCTCGATATCCACTTTAGGTGGCGCCACTATCACTAAAACTACTGCAGCTCCAAAAACAGACAAAGTGGATAACCAGGTAAGGGATTCCAAAAACAATTAAAAATATATGCAAAATACTACTGATTTGAAATGAAAGTCTCTTGAAAAATACATATTTTTTATGTTACAGCATAATACTGCAAACATTCTTCGGAAAGTTGAAGAAATGAAGAAGAAAGCTGTCCCGTCACCACCTCCACCTGAACCGAGTTAGTATATGAAAACTTTCACTTCTAAAGTAATTTGCTAACAACCTTTTTCCTACTGAGTTAGCATTGAGTTTTATATAAACCAAGTTTTACTGAATATACTAAATATTAGTATTGCCAGTTAGTCCAAGACCTGCTAAAATTTATTCTTATTTCGTTGTCATTTAATAGTTAAATTTTTCAAATATTTGGATTTATGCATCAAAAATTCTGATTAGTTTAATAACTTAACAAATTCGCTGAAAATAAAACAATAACACATAATAAACATCTGACTGCCATTAGACCTAATAAAAAAAATTTGAATGTTACAGAAAAAAATACTGTTACAGTTGCTGAGAAGAAGACTGTAAATAAAACTGAAAATGGCAACACAGGTGCTGGTACTAGCGACAAGTCCCTCAGAATGCTGGAGAAGGACTTGCAGGAATTAAAGAGGGTAACTATATTCTTACAGTTTACCTTACAAACAGCATTACACACAATGTGTAGTAGATTCACTACTAATAAATAACATTAACATTTCTCTGGTATACAGCTGTTATGTAGTGGGTAAAAATTATTCGCCTTCAAATTTAAAGTCATTGAACATCTTCAGAAAAAAACTGACAGAATCAAGTCTTAGTTAACACTCTCCTTAGGAACTTTATAATATACAATTATGTATATAAAATATATAATTCCAATATATATTTTTGTTTCATATTAATATGTAGTAATGGTATGTAGTTTATGTACTGTACCTTTATATATCCTTTAACCTATATTCATTTAACTGGTCTGGTCAAAAATGAGGGATTTTTGACCAGATACAAACTTTTTTATAACCTACTGTAACACTTCTCTGCTTCACCCTGTGGTTGGCTAGTAGAGAATGCCATCCATTAAGCCCGCACAAAAAGTGTTAAAATAAACAAAATAAATAAAATCTCCAACAAAAGTGGTAGAACTTGTTACTGGAACAACATTTAACTTGTATTATTTATTTCGCTTCAATTTCAGACCCACCCGCCTAAAGAAGCCGTTAAGACTCCAGCGAAACCAATAGACACATTAAGAAATAGACGGGCACAAATACATACTTCAACTCCTAAAGTGAGGTGAGTAAATCTTCTTTTTTATTGTACAGTTACTTGAAAATTATAAATTATTCATTTTTATCATTAAAAACCACTAAATACACAGGATGGAACACAACAGACACACATGGAACAGTCTATCAGACTAATGATTAAATTACAATTTATTTAGGTACTATACTTCTACCATTTATTATTTTAATGCATTTCAATTACAGGACTCCAACTGATGAACGCAAGACGCAAGTAGTATCAAAATCCCCAGTACCGGAGAAGAAGATTCCCGAGCGGCGCGTCCTCACCAAGGAGAACAAGGAACCGAAAGAAATTAAAGAAAATAAAGCAAATAACGGTAACGCGAAGGAAGAAAAAGAGGTTAAAGATAAAGATGCTAAGGAGAAGCTCGCTAAAGAAAAGGAGGTCAAAGAAAAGGAGGCTAAAGAAAAAGAAAAAGATGTAAAACAAAAGGAAGCTAAAGAAGGAACGCCGAAGGTATGTCTGTCGATATTAGCTATTTCTATTAGATTGCAGCGTGTTGTTTTGTAATCTTTAAGACTACGTCGATAATTGGGCTATCCAACACAAAAAGACTTATTAAATCGATACAGTAGTTCCGGAGATTAGCGTGATCAAACAAACATTTATCATAAAAACATACATATCACGCCTTCAGCGTAATATACTAATAACATACTATTCCAAACTCCATGATAAAAATGTTTTCAGAATGTTGTCAAAAATGGAGGCGAGAAACCAAGTTCCGAAGAAGGGATCCGCCGGTCTACCAGACCATCTAAAATTAAGGATTACGCCAAGATGATTAGAGACAGGTAATTTAATTATTTATTGTATAAAATTGTTATTTGGGCATGAAATTATGATTTGGTGTAACTTGAAAATGAAATATCAAAATTACACAATTCAATTTTAAATGCACATTCTTACAGGTCACAAGATTCTGACGAAAATGATGATTCAGATGACGCTGATGATGAAGAATATAAAGAGGTCGAGAAACCTGTTGATGTAAGAATAACTTTTATAACCTTGACTGTCTATTTTTTACTTTATATGATTTTAATAAATTTACTAATATAAAATTCACGGGGTGAATCAACATCCCAGCCACTGCTGGACTAAGGACCTCCACTACAAAAGATTTATCATAATGGCAAGTGGGTTAGAGATTGCATTTTAAAATCCCGTTGTCTATTCAATATGAAGTCGTAATAACAAATGTACCAGCTCTGCTTATTAATAAATATAAAATGATAATGTTACAGCCCAAGTCTAAAGCCCGCAGAGCTAGTATAAAAACAGCGGCACTGAAGACAGCCATATCGGCCACTCCTACGCCTAGGAAACGTGGTCGACCACGCAAGGATGCTGTGTAAGTACTCAAATACCTATAATACATTTTTACAATAATTGAGACACCTTAAAGAGGCCTTCGTGCCCGGGGCCACAGTATCAACCTGAGCTCCGGCATTTTTCGCTGCGACGCACCATGGTCCTCTTTTGTGTGTACGTATTCTTGTCTACGTGTGTCGTGGCGTAATAAATGTGTTTTCTTTGTTTCGTTTCTTTCTTTCTTTAAAAATCTATACTAATTTCAATTCACTAAGACTCGTATTCATAAGCGTCATGCGTGACGCGGCGACAGGTCTTCGCGTACTCTACCTATTGGTTTTCATTATAAAATTGTCATATATTACGATTTACTTCATTTGTCTAAAATTGTTCTTGTACTATTCATTTAGACCTCCAAAAGTAAGGAAAGAGGAAGTTGAAGATGATGAGGCTGAGGGTTCTGACAGCGAAAAAGACAAATCCAAACCTGCGCCAGAACCAGAGCCGGAACCTGCGCCAGCGGCTGAGAAAGAGCGGGACAGCAAGACTCCAGTAGAACCCGTGAGTAAAGAGCCATACTACTCGAGACGTTGTCGAGAATGATTTTTGGTACTAGCGACAATAGAAACACATCATCTGTAAAAATAATCATGTTCATGAGATATTGCCTAGTGATAGTTTTATTAATATGATCCCGAATAACACAATAATACTTGTCATTTTATTCATTTTTCATTTGGTATTATTTTATATTGCAGGAAACCAGCAAGACACCAGATCCAAAGCCACAAAGTACTTTGGTATCACCTACCGGACAGACATTGAAAAAAGTAAGCAAACTATTCTCTTATTGACTACCTTTTGTGTCTAAAATTGCTTTAGTCTCAACACTACCTATGTGCTTTGAAAATTATAATAATTAAAAATCAATATTTACAGATTCCTATCAGAGCATTACCTCCTGGAGTCAAACCTATGCCTTTACCGGTAAACGCGAGACGTAAGTATTATTTTTAGCATTTTATTTTACAACAACGTAACCCATACATTATTAACATAAACATATTTTATTTGATACAGCTATGGGTGGCGGTGAAGTATGCGAGATGCAGATCGGCAAGAAAGTCGTCAAAGTACAAAAGATTGTGATGACTAAAGCTGAAGTCGAGGCGATGGCTAAAAAGGGTCTAGTCGAAATGAAGGTAAAAATACATAGTTTAATCTATGGTATAAGTAATTAATTCTATGGTATAAGGGAATGCAGCATACATGGTTGTGCTCTCTCACTCTGGTCCCTATATTTATTTATTAAATTAATTATTTTGTTTGCTTCCAGGATGGCACCATGGTTCTCAAACAAGGAATTAAAATCCCTACTACAGATCCCTCAGCGCTCAAAAGTAGTCTAGTCGGAGAAGGTTAGCATCATGTGACACATTCACGCAATACTCTCACAAATCTATGATGCTTTCATACTCTTACAAAATGTGAAGACAATAAAAACTAGAATTTCATAAAATTTTATTTATTTCAGCTGAACCCAGCACTAGTAAAGAATCTCCTATCAAGAAGGAAAAGTCGGCCGTACCGACTCGGTGTGACTTTGGAGAAGACACGTGAAGTGCACAATAACTGTTGTTTTATACCTATACCTTATCATAATAAGAAGACACATACGTGTCAATTATATATAGTTAGTGTTAAACACCACTGTATTTAGTTAAAGACTCTCATAGACACTACTGTAAAATGTAAGGTATTAAATATGATTATGTAATGCACCGGTTCTGTTGCAAACCTTGTACTTCTAATGATCTTAAAATGTACTTTATGTATTTGTAGGACAATCACTACATTTTTATTTTAAGTAGGACGGTAAAATTTTAAATGTATTTAAAAGTTCAATTACGCATTATGCTAGTAAGAATTGTATACAAAAATAAAACAGTTATAAATATATAATAATCCTGCCTTTTTATTTTCCCCATAAAAATATTCATTGATATTTGTGAACACAATATACCTACGTATGCGTCACAAATTAGGGGTCCAAACATGAAGCGTACTTCACCACTAATCCATACCTATCCTTTTTCTGGGCCACAGATCACCGAATTGTGACCCCCTTTACTCTTTGTCCGTATTATATCTTTTAAATATTTTTGTCGTAATTCGTTCCCAATTGTTCTTTTTTTTTTGTTTTCAAATTTCCACACTAGACAAGTAGCCTTCCCCTATACTTATTATATACTCTTTGAAGTAGCCATGCCCTAGCCTCAAATAGTGTAATAAGTATATAGGAACCTAGCCTACAACGCGTCTGTTACAAGTTGACAAATGACAGCCACGCCATTAGTGAGTCATGCGATGAAATTCCAGAAATAGGGGGCGCTACTACGCCTCTTGTGTATTTAATAGTTTATTCTACTGAGCGCTAGATGGCGTCATTAAAAACTTTTTTTCAGATGTCGCTAGTGTTCACTATTTACCGCGCTTTTCAAGAAAGGCAAGACGCGGCTGGTTCAAAACATTTGTTCAAACGAGATCAAAAACGCGCGACAGCCGGCTGCGGCAGACGACATCACAACAAATACGGATTGCAATTTAAAGTTTTAACACTTATCCAGATTTTTAATTCTGAAATTTATTTTGATAAGTGCTGTGAATTGTTTCTATTATAAAAAATCCGGGAGTTAAAAGCCTGCGAAAACTTTTTCACGGAAGAAGAACACTTCGTCTGAATTCAGGTGAGTGGATATTTTATTAAGTATTTATTTTTAGTAAAATTAAGTAAAAACATATTCAAACAAAATAACAAACCATTGAATAGTTTTGTAAATAATTTTATTTTCTCGTGCTACACGTAAAGTATTGTTTTATTGTCAACATATACCGACTAACTATTTATTTATAAATAATCTAGGATGACAAAAACTCATAAAAGTAGGTACCTGCGATCTTTACCATCGAAGTACCATCTTAACCAATTTCGATTCAAATTATCATATTTGATGGTAATTCTTATAACTTCTCGGTGTTGTTACTATCTACACTTACTTCTTAAAAAAATATATGACAACATGTTAGATGCTATTTCGTAGAAATAATTAAAAAAGTTTTCTTAGTTATAGGTATTAGTTGGTTTTTTTTTTATTTTTCGGTTTTCCATTGAACTATTAGTTAATAAATTTAACTACACAATGCATATTGTACGTAGGTACTAAAACTAATAAAATAGTCTACATAAACAAATCAAACCATTCTTAAACTGTTGTTTTTACGTTAAGGAATTTAATTTAGTAAGTAGATATGACCTACGATGTAATTTTATGGCAGGTACAAACACAAATTGATAAATTGGATAAGATAAGATACGAATAACAACTGTACCTTACGTTAATTCTCATTGTTCGTAGTATTTTACAACAGTCCCTATCTATCTGAGTACCGGTTACATTATACTTCAATTTTAATTTCATTTCCCGTAAAATATTGGATGATAAAATTCGAAGTTTCCTGAGCTATAGGTACGTCGACTTTTAGTCGGTAGATATCTTCGAATAGTGTCAATTAAGATTCTGTACAATAGTATGTACTGTAGATCTAGGTAGATCTATGTAGATCTACCTGTAGATCTAGGTAGATCTACATAACTCATTAGGTATTTAATTTAACCTACCTGAAGATAAAATATTTCTCACGTGTACAATACAACTTTCGTACAAAGGCTATTACCAAAGTTATTCAATAATCTAGTGCTTTCGGTTTTATCATCAGGTTTAATTAAACCACCTATAATTATAGGTACCAAGTTACCAAACTATCTAAAATTAAGTGTAAGAAGTATCTAAACCCAACTCAACTTGAGTGTCAATAACAACTTGATCTCAAGTTCGACTCATGTCTAGACAGAATGCGTATGCGACTAGGTGACAGGGTGATTAAACACAATTATAGAGGATAGAGGAAACTAATATCCGGTTACTACATATAAGCTTGCAGCGTATATTGACTACAATAAAAATACGTCAATATAGATATAAAAATCACGTTGTAAAGATTATTTTCCCTGTAACAATTCAATACATTCATTTAATCAACTTATTACATTAGCTTCACACAGCTTCAGAGTTCGATATAAGTTATTATACATGACGTAACTATGAAAAATGTCTTCAGGTTTAAAACATTCAACCATTTGACATTGAGACATGAAAATCGTGAGGTAATTGACAATAAAATTAAGAATGTCAACATTGAATAGTTATCACGGTGGTGCTAGGTTTTTGTATATCTGTTGAGCCCCAAACTTGCTAAATGGACAAACACGGTTGGAAGCGAAGCAGGAAACTGAATGAGTGAACAAGTAGTGACTGGGTGGACAATATTACGTAACAAGTCTAATTCTGAAAGCTTGTCCATCATTTATGTAGCGGATAATGACGATGTCAGTTAATTCGTATTAAGTGCAGCTATTTTCCCAAGTAGTCAAGTTCTTTCAACTGAAGAAGACTATTTACTTAACTGTCTTGGTCTACTATAAATAACGCAGATTTCATACATATATACAGATAGTTTAAAAACCCCAACATAAACGATGATACTTGGGTTATACAAATTCTAGTTCGGAAATCAGTTTAATTCAATAGATAATTTTTCCGTTCAATCTCACTCCACAGAGTCAATTAATTCCATTGACACAGGCGATCATGCGATCTCTTTGGGGTTTTTCCTGCTTTCATGATTCTTGCGTCTCATTCAGCCATAGTTTTTTTATCTGTTCAGTCATACGTAGATAATTAACTAACTAATGATACCTAACCTACCAGTCCGCTACAGCCAACTAACATTTCAACATGGGTTTTCCTACATTCGAATGCTTATTACTTAAATTGCAGCTCTGACTCGACTGATCAAAACACACAAAAAAGGGTGTCGATAAAAAAGAATTAAAGAACAAGTAATTGCTTTAGTACTAGTTTTATAGGAATTTTGTTGATTTTATTTTATTATGACATTGTTACATGTTGATGCTATTTTTTTATTAGATTACCTATGCATCTTAATTATGAAGTAAAAACATAGGTCGGTACCACACAGACTAAAACATAGTACTAAGTTTGACATTAAAATGTACCTAAGTATGAGAATTTATCAATTGTGAATATATTGTTAAACTTCTAAATAAAAAATATGTCTGCGTGCTTACCTATGTCTTAAGCAGATATTTCGTAGAACAAGAAGTTAGCTTTGTACATTATGCAGACATCGAGAACACGAACTATCTGAATACTAATGAATAAAATAGAACGTTGTATTGCCTTTACATACCAAGTTAAATATTATAATCTGGTTGACTGTTTAACTAGAACCTGAAAAAATTAAAATAATGTTGGAAAGTAGACGCGGCATACACAATTTCTTAGAAGCTTTAATCAATCCTCTAAGCTGTAACTCATTGTTCAATCAAATCAATCAGTCAAGCATTTATAGCCATGTCATCAAATATAAAGCCGTAGTTATTTAAATTGTCATTTTAATTATGTCACATGAATAAACAAAGCGTCAAATCGGCAAAACATATGCTACGAATGATGACCATATGTGTGCTTCTAGTTGTATAACTGATGGTGACAGCTACTGGCTGCTGATTGGCCGTGGCACTATTGTACCTACTGCTAACTAGTAGCTACTCGTCACTCAACAACTGTGACGAACAACGAGTGAATTCGTCAACGACGGTTACGATCACCGTAGCGAATCAAGCTTTTGAAATGGATCACGCCGCTCTAGTCCCACCAACTCCATTCATTATAGTAATGTGTAAATAATTGTTATCTGCATGAATGTTACATTAACCACTAAAATTTTTAAGTATTTCAAACAAATTTTCCGCATAGCGTCGCGTCGACTAACGGACACGAAAAACGTTTCGTCGAATTGTTTTCAAACATTTCAATGAACTTGTTAAATTCATTTAGATAAGTAAGTAGATCTAAAGATTACTGGGCAAACGATCTCTGTGACATTATTAAGCTAGCACCTCCCTCAGCACATTCCTCTCATAGCATATAAAATATGTTAATAGTCGCTGTCATTTAGTTTAAATTACCCTAAAAACGCACCTGTCATATGATAATGCGAACCAAGGACATTAATAATAGTTTTCTTAGAACAATATTTACCTATCTAAAGTTAATAAGTACATAATAGGTAAGCCCGTAAGCCTATAGGTATAGGTACGAGTTGGTCCTATGTTTACGGAGCAGCGTGGACGGTGTCCATCACCTGTGTTGCGGTGTTCTTTCTGTTCAACACTCGACCGTAACGAGTGACAGCTGTTACATACAAATATTTGCCCAAGTTTATCTTTCAGCTTGTAAAGATTATGAGTTACGACACGCTGTATCAATTGGGTTTGCCGCCAAAACGGCTCGTTCATCATTTTGACGTCACACGCGTAAACTAAACATGAGCTTAACGTAGAAGTAATATATTGGTGCTAAAAAAGTATGTTAGGTATGCAAATTAATGCGGTTCTTTCTGAAGGCTAGTTGCCAGCCGGTGAAGTATATTATGGGGAAATGCGGACCGGACGTCCGACTGTGTGTATGCTTATA